ATCATTCGCCAGAGAACCGAGCTCGTTGGCAGGATCTTTGCAAAAGACTCCTGGTCCCGTCGATCAGTCTCACCAAGGCAAATCCCGGTGTGGTAAATGAGATCTTTGACCTTATCAGTTTTTTCCCTAGGGAGGTACGGTACAATATGTATGCCGAGTGGACTTCTGGCCAAACTTCCAGACTTCCTGACATCAAGTCGGCGTTTGATCAGGCGAAAGCAGAAACGAAGGATGTTCTTAAGAGGCTCAGCAAAACGAATATTCGACCTATGGCTCGTGCCTTGGCCAAGATCGCCTATGCCAATCCGGGCATCGTCATCAGTGTGGCCATCAACCAGATTGAGTCTTATGAGAATCTTATCGAAGTCGTTGTGGAGTGTGCGCGCTACTTCACATATCTTGGGTATGATATCCTGACATGGGTCATGATTAGCTCGCTCGGCCAGAAGGGACGAAGCCGCGTTCAAGAAGGTGGCTTGTTGACTAGTCGTTGGTTGAACGCCTTGGCGACATTTGCAGGACGGACTTTCAAGAGGTATTCGGTGATGGATCCCACTCCGGTCTTACAATACGTTGTGGAGCAGCTTCGCCAGAACAATTCGACAGATTTGATCATCCTCGAGCAGATAATCAGTTCTATGGCGGGAATCATCACCGACAACAATTTCAACGATGCACAAATTCAGGCCATGGCGGGTGGCGAAATCCTACAATCTCAGACGATCTTGCAGTTGCTAGATAAGCGACACGAGTCAAAAACTACCTCCAGAAGACTTATGAAGTCTCTCACTGTTTCAAAGCTTGCCGGACAATTGCTCATTGCCATTGCTCAAGAACGATTGATTTGCGTTTTCAGAGAAACGGAAGGCGCTTCCGAGCTCAAGCTCCTAGGAAACATTTTTGATGAGATTCACCGTATTCTGGTTCAGTACCTGGATCTGCTTCGCAGCAACCTGTCGGTCGAGGAATTCGATTCATTCGTCCCGGATTTGGCTTCTCTCATTAGCGATTTCGGCATCCAGCCCGAAGTGGCGTTTTGGATTCGGCGTCCGAGTGTTGCAAAGAAGGTTGCGGATATAGAAAAGACAATGCAGGATGAAGAGTCCGCAAAGACTCCGGCGGCATTGGTATCCAGTCGCGAGAGCGAAGAGACATCCCCATCCAAGCCCGAGGCTGACGAGATGGAAACGACGGAAGATGGGGAGGCAAACGTGACTGAAGGGGAACAGCCGTCGGAGAATGCCATGGATGTCGATACCGAAAAGGCAGAGACCGCGAACAACACCGACAGCAACGCTGCTACAGTACCGGCTGGTTCTGTCACTGCCGAGGTGCCTGCTCTGAATCCCGTCATGCAAGATCTCCAAGACCAAGTCAAGGCTGTCCTGAGTCCCGAAACGTGGGGCGTTGTTGGCTTACAGTTCTACGTGACATTCTGGCAGCTGTCTTTGTACGACGTGCATATACCTCAGAAATCGTATGAAGACGAAATTGATCGGCAAAAGAGGAAGGTTATGGCCATCAGCAACGATCGGTCCGACATCAGCATGGCAGGAACGCAAAGAAAAGAGCGAGAGAAAAAGCAAATCACGCAACTCCAAGACCGGATATTGGAAGAGAACAAGGCCCACTTGAAGGCCTACGGCCAAACAAGGACCAAACTACAGAAGGAGAAAGATCGCTGGTTTGCAGGTATGCGTGGGAAGCACGATTCGTTGAATGTTGCCCTTCTGGAGCAATGTTTCCTACCGCGTCTCTTGTTGTCTCCTATCGATGCATTCTACTGCTTCAAGATGCTCAAATTCTTGCACACAACTGGAACGCCGAATTTCCGAACCGTCGGCCTCCTGGATCAGCTATTCAGGGAGCAAAGACTTACCGCGTTGATATTCCAGTGCACATCAAGAGAGGCCGATAACTTGGGTCGATTTTTGAATGAGGTCTTACGCGACCTCGGTCGTTGGCACGCCGACAAGGCTGTTTACGAGAAGGAAGCGTTTGGTACCAAGAAAGACCTTCCTGGGTTCGCCAAGAATGTTGACTCGGATGGGAAGCCAGCCATTTATCTGGAGTACGAAGATTTCCGTCGGCTTCTGTACAAGTGGCACCGCCTATTCTCCTCCGCTCTGAAGACGTGCTTGAACGGTGGCGAATACATGCACATTCGTAACGCTATCAGTGTGTTGAAGGCTGTTGTGCAGAATTTCCCTGCAGTGAACTGGATAGGCCGGGACATGTTGACTAGCATGAATAGCTTGAGTCAGAACGACGAACGAGATGATGTCAAGATCCCGGCCGCTTCTCTAATCGGCGATCTTAACCGGCGTGAAAAGAAATGGTTGCTCCCTCAAGCGTTTATGAGTGCCAGCCCGCCAGTGCCTGGCAGACCAGGTGCAGCAGCGAAACCAACCACACCACGTCCCTCGTCTACTACACCCACCCCCTTGAATGCTACTGCTGTCGAGTTCAAGCCTACATCCACCAACGGGTAAGTCCTCAGATAGAACCTAGATCATTGTACTGTGTTGATCATGAATACTGATATTTTACACAACTACAGGTCGCAAGGCGAGGCGAAGCCCGAGTCGGGCGCCACGAAGGCTGAGGTTGAAGATGGAGAGATAGAGGATGCAAAGATGGCTGATGTCCCGCTGGCTGATCGAACAGCTCAAAAGCCGGCTGAAACAAAGGTTTCGTCGACGTCTCAACGTGATTCGCCTGCAACTTCGGCTCAAGGTACCGAAATACAAGCATCCGCTAATCGCGAGCAAAATTCAAACGAGAAGGATGTCGCTTCTGCCCGTGGAGCTCATCTAGAGGCAGACTTGCCTGCTCGACCCCAGGCGCCAGCATCGCCCGCTGCATCGCAGGCTGCATCAAAAATTTCAGACTCTGGTAGACCGGCAAATGTACCGAAGCGCCCTGAACCGGAGCGAGCACCATCCGGTGCACAGAACGCCCGAGCACAAGCGCAGGGCCCACACCGATTCAACCGTGAAGACAAGTTACCTCCTCGGCCTGATCTCTTAGAGGATCGCCGTGACAGACATCAGGACTATCCTCGTGGTGGTCGCTTCGGTGGAGACCACGACTATTCTCGGCCATTCGATCCGGCCATGGGTGATGGGAGGCCCTACCCCCGTGGTGACAGGGATTACCCAAGGCAACCTATGGACGAACCATTCCGTGGATTTCCTCACCGGGATGGACGCCCAGCGCGTGATGCGGACTGGCCGGATCGGTCAGGCCGTCTACGGCCGGATGCTCGGGAGGGACCACCAAATGTACGATCTGTTCCTCCTACGCACCCTGATCGCGCTGGTATGATAGACGACCATCCAGAAGGCTTTCGGCGTGGCGAAACCGGACGACAAGATCGGGACGACCGACGGAATTTGCAACAACGAGCATTGTCTCCTCCGAGAATGGAACCACTGGGGCGTCCAGAACGGTTCCCAGCTGATGATCGCCGGGGTGCGAACTTTGCCCACCCTCATGCGCGCAACGAGGATATGCCCACAGGGCCACGAAGTGAGCGATATGGGCGTCCTTCCATGGATGGCGCTGACAGTCGAGATACAGTGACCGGCATTGACATGAATCATGGACGGCTGCGTCAACCGGAGCCGCCTACGGATGTTCCGTCTGGCCCGAGAGGAAGAAACAATGCTGGGCGTGGTGGCCGCAATGTCCCCGGGTCACAACATTCCCAAGGACAGCCTGCGGCTGGTGCGATGGCTCCGACTGAACGCCAGCCTCCTACTGGCCCTGGTCGACAGGGGCTACGAAACGCACCGGATCAGCCTGCCCCAACAGGGCCCTCGTCACCGGGCCCAGAGAAACTCGACACTAGCGGAATCCACCCGGATAGACTGAAGGTCCTGCAACAGCAACCCCAGGAAAACACATATGGGGGCGGTCAGCGCCCGCATCATGGGTCATCTCCTGCATCGATTGTTCCCCCATCTGGTCCACGCAGTGGACTGGGGCCACCCTCTGGACCCGCAGCTATGCCACGTGGCCCGCCTTCAGGTCCTGGGTTTGGTGGTGAACGCGGCCGGGGAGACAAGCGTTTTGCTGGTATCAACAACATGCTCCAGCAATCCGGTGGGCTGCCGGACCGTGGCCCTGGTCCTACGATTCGAGGACGGGGTGCCAATCGGCAATCGGGCGCCATGAATGCCCCATCACCGCAATCGGCTCGGCCTCCGACGCCCGTTGCGCAGGAGGAGGGTGGTCGCGGTGGCCCGGCGTCTCAAGGTCGCCCTGATCTCATGGCCGGCCGGTCTTCTGGCGCTCCCTACGGGGAAGAGGACGGTCATCCACGTAGCCGACCAGGAGGCAGCCGAGGAGAGCCTGCGGAGGAGTCCAGCGCGGAAAGCCGGCGAAGCCAGCGGTTCTCTTCGGGCACATACCCTGAGCGTGAACGGGAGCGGGAGCGAGATCGGGAACGGCGTGGTGGCGATGAAGAGGGCTCACGCAGTAGCAGTCGACGGGAAGAGCATCGAGATCGAAACCGGGATTACGAGCGTGAACGGAGTCGCCGAAGCGACGCGGGTGGTGCCCCGGGAGGGCCTCGGGAAGAACGGTATGAGTCTCGCGAGGCGTCTCGACGTGGGCCTGGCGCACGTGAAGACAACCGGCGTCGACGTGACCGGGAGGAGGGCTCGGACATTGCCCCAAGCAGTCAGGAGCATGAAGGCCGTCTCCGACCTCCGTCTTCTCTTGGCGGACAGGGTCCTCCACCACCTCCGCCGCCCCCGCTTGCTGCTGGTGAGGATGACCGACGATGGGGAGGTGGGCGCGAGCTGCGCGATCGTGAGCGTGACCGTAATCGGGATCGTCCGCGTGAACGGGACTACCATCGCGAGGGGGCGCCTAGTGGGCCTCACCGCAAGCGTAATCGACCTGGGGACGAAGGAGGACATGGAGATGGCGGCGGACGGGGAGGAATGCGGATGGGAAGCGAGTCTAAACGGCCCCGACGTGGTGCGTGAGGGAGAAGAGAATTTAGGGATCTTGATACCGGCGGAATGATGCGTGGTTGCATGTTGCTGTTTCTTTTTGTCTCTCATTGAATCTACCATTTCCTTTTGACCTACTACACGACTCTATTACTAGCATTGTTGGACGGTGTTTTTTTTGCGTTCCGTCTGTTTACCTGGGACTCTCTGATCTATGTGCACGCATGGCCTGTACCATACAATTTTTCTCTTCCATTTCCCCCATTTGTGTTCTTGATTGGATACCCGGACGCATAGCAGCTACCTACTCGCAGTCAGTCAGCTGGCTGCCCGTTACGAAAGTTAGGTTCCGGTCCGTAGTCTGCCTGCATGAGTAGTAGCCGTGGGGACAACGGACTCCGGTGGGATGTTTTACCTTTTTGGGTAGGACAATGTCCGACGTGGTGAACTCTTAGACCCTGCATCTGCATCTGCATCTGCAAGTAGTGATGGTGGCTGCCAGGATACCCTGTGCATCTGCAAGACCATCAGGCCAACTGGCGACAGGGCAAGCGGGCCGACACTCCGACCAAACCGGTCGGGTAATCTTCGGGGCATTTCGTGGCTGCTCCTTCGGCAGCTCCTGCCGTCGATCCGCCCATTCATGATGTTGATCCATGATGCATTCCATCCCACTCGGTAGCCACCTTATGCACGGATGATTCAGGCGGGGTGCCAGGCACCGTGGGTTCCGGATATATGAACTCCTCCATCTGCCCCCGCTCCAACCATTGGTTTCAGTAGTCCTCGACTCGAGTCAGTCCGTTTGGTCCGTGATCAATTTATACTTCCCTCCCTCCCCGTTCCTTAACCAGCAATTGTCTCTTAAGTCCTGCTACTCATCATCGTAGCCTGCATTGACTCGAATGCCACTCCATTGTATTTTAAGTTTGCAATAAATCGTCCCCCCTCCCGTCACCGTCACCATGGCACGTCTGGACGTGGAAAAGACCATTGAAGAGCTCACGCTGGGCGAAAAGGTAGCTCTCACGGCTGGCAAGTAACGCCCAACACCAATTACCAAAAACAAAAAGCATAACTAACTATTGAACAGGCGTGGACTTTTGGCACACTGCCTCAATCCCCCGACTCAACATCCCCGCTCTGCGCATGTCCGATGGTCCCAATGGCGTGCGAGGCACCCGCTTCTTCAACGGAATCCCGGCCGCCTGTTTTCCCTGTGCCACCGCCCTCGGAGCAACCTGGGACGCCCATTTGCTGCACGAGGTGGGCCAGCTCATGGGTGACGAGTCCATCGCTAAGGGCTCGCATATCGTTCTGGGTCCCACCATCAACATCCAGCGCTCTCCGCTCGGCGGTCGAGGCTTCGAGTCTTTCGCAGAGGATGGCGTGCTTTCCGGAATTCTGGCCGGGAATTACTGCAAGGGGTTGCAGGAGAAGGGCGTCGCTGCCACGCTTAAGCACTTTGTGTGCAATGATCAGGAGCATGAGCGTTTGGCGGTGAGCAGCATCGTCACCATGCGTGCCCTGCGCGAGATATACCTGTTGCCTTTTCAGTTGGCGATGAGGATATGTCCTACTGCTTGTGTTATGACGGCCTATAATAAGGTCAATGGCACGCATGTCAGTGAGAATAAGGAGCTTATCACTGATATCCTCCGCAAGGAGTGGAATTGGGATGGTCTGGTTATGAGTGATTGGTAAGATCTGTACCGTAAAATGGTGCTACACATGTATTGACAGAATATCCTAGGTTCGGAACCTACACCACTTCCGACGCCATCAATGCTGGTCTGGACCTCGAAATGCCGGGCAAGACACGCTGGCGTGGCTCTGCCCTGGCTCACGCTGTGTCCTCCAATAAGGTAGCCGAGTTCGTTTTGGACGACCGCGTCCGCAATATCCTCAACCTCGTCAACTGGGTCGAGCCTCTAGGCATCCCCGAGCACGCCCCGGAAAAAGCCCTCAACCGGCCCCAAGACCGGGATCTTCTCCGCCGCGCCGCCGCCGAGTCCGTCGTGCTCATGAAGAACGAAGATAATATTCTTCCCCTCCGCAAAGACAAACCCATCCTTGTCATCGGACCCAACGCTCAAATCGCCGCCTACTGTGGCGGCGGCTCTGCCTCCCTAGACCCCTACTACACCGTCTCGCCCTTTGAAGGCGTCACCGCCAAAGCCACCTCCGAAGTTCAATTCTCCCAAGGCGTCTACTCCCACAAAGAACTCCCTCTCCTCGGTCCCCTGCTCAAAACTCAGGATGGCAAACCCGGATTCACGTTCCGCGTCTACAACGAACCACCCTCCCACAAGGACCGCACCCTTGTCGACGAACTGCATCTTCTCCGCTCCAGCGGCTTCCTCATGGACTACATCAACCCCAAGATCCACTCTTTCACCTTCTTCGTCGACATGGAAGGCTACTTCACCCCCACCGAATCCGGCGTCTACGACTTCGGCGTCACCGTAGTCGGCACGGGCCGTCTCCTCATCGACAACGAAACCGTCGTCGACAACACAAAGAACCAACGCCAGGGCACCGCCTTCTTCGGCAACGCCACCGTCGAAGAGCGCGGCTCCAAACACCTCAACGCAGGCCAAACCTACAAAGTAGTCCTCGAATTCGGCAGCGCCCCCACCTCCGACCTCGACACCCGAGGCATCGTCGTCTTCGGGCCCGGCGGATTCCGCTTCGGCGCTGCCCGCCAAGTCAGCCAAGAAGAGCTGATCTCCAACGCCGTCTCCCAAGCCAGCCAAGCCTCCCAAGTAATCATCTTTGCCGGCCTCACCAGTGAATGGGAAACCGAAGGCAACGACCGCGAACACATGGATCTGCCTCCTGGGACTGACGAGATGATTTCCCGTGTCCTCGACGCTAATCCGGATAACACAGTCGTGTGTCTCCAGTCCGGTACCCCTGTCACCATGCCATGGGTCCACAAAGCCAAAGCCCTCGTCCACGCCTGGTTCGGCGGCAACGAATGCGGTAACGGCATCGCAGACGTCCTCTTTGGAGACGTCAACCCGTCCGCTAAACTCCCCGTGACTTTCCCCGTCCGCTTACAGGATAACCCTAGTTATCTTAACTTCCGCTCCGAGCGGGGCCGTGTCCTCTACGGTGAAGATGTCTACGTCGGATACAGGTACTACGAAAAGACGAACGTGAAGCCCCTCTACCCTTTCGGTCACGGTTTATCCTACACCACTTTCTCCCGGAGTGATCTGAAGATTACTACCTCCCCGGAGAAGAGCACCCTCACCGACGGCGAACCCATCACTGCCACAGTCCAAGTAAAGAACACAGGTACCGTAGCCGGCGCAGAGATCGTACAGCTGTGGGTCCTTCCCCCGAAAACGGAGGTGAACCGCCCCGTCCGCGAACTGAAGGGGTTCACAAAGGTGTTCCTCCAGCCTGGGGAGGAGAAACAGGTGGAGATTGTGGTGGAGAAGAAACTGGCGACGAGCTGGTGGGACGAGCAGCGCGGTAAATGGGCGTCGGAGAAGGGCACATATGGGGTGTCTGTCACAGGAACTGGTGAGGAAGAGTTGTCGGGGGAGTTTGGGGTTGAGAGGACGAGGTATTGGGTTGGGTTGTAGGCATACCATATATGCCGTATTTAGAGATATTGGTTTTGTTGATGAGTTGGATATACATGGCTTATGATTGATGATGATGTGATTGTCGTGAATTGAATTGGATGTTTCTATTTACCGACGAGTAAATATATAAGACAGATAAACCAGACATGGATTGATATACAAGTTCGGCACAAACCTCCTCGCCCTCCTCGCCCTCCTCGCCAGTTTCATTTCCGCCGAAACAGTCCGAGTACATCATGACAGTCCCTCCAAGAATGAACAAGATGGCTAAGTAGAGGACAGACTATTTGTCACATATCATTGTGGATGTCGTATCGCAGGGTTTCACCCTTGGATCCCGTTAATTGTAAGGAGGAGCTCGAGTTGGTGGGGGAGTCGGCGGATAAGGTTGGTGATTTGCAGAGGAAGATGTGAGAAATTGAAAGGGGAATTGGAGGTCTGTTAGGTCTCCTCCCATGGTGGTGAAGAAGGGAATGGAGGCGACAACGAGGGAGGGGAAGACGGTGATTGTGATTGTGGTTCAGGACACTGGTCCAAAAGATGCTGCTTGTGAGTGACTACCCTCATCTGAAACATCCAAGACAGGAAGAGATACCTTGGTATGCTGACAATCTTCCCCTCCATCAGGTCCTCGTAATGCTAAAATCGTCGTTAGCTACGAGAACTGAACAAAAGATGGGATCTACACTGTGATCGATGTATGAATATTCCCTATATACTTTTTAAGCATTTTCCACTCCTGCCACAATGTCCACTAACCTTTCTTAGATACCCGTTTATAGAACCGGTGCCAACAATGACCTCGGCAGCGATTCTCCCTTACTCGATATTGCCGAATGTATGCATCAGTGCTCTCAAATCCCCAAGTGTAGGATGGTCTACTTCTATAAAAAGCTCCGCACTTGTTTCTTCGCGACGATACCAGGTACTTTAAGTGGACATGCGCCCGATTACGGCGCTGCTTGGTTCCTTGGATCTTGAAGTAACGGTGTCGCTATGCACTGTGCTGTTATTTGCGTCGACGTCTGACCGCGTTTGAAGTGCTTCGTCTTGTTGGAAGCTTTCTCGACGTTGGAAGTGTCTGTTGCCTTGTCCTGTTCGCTGGCTCAGCTCTATGATGTGGGATAAGCGTTGTCCGTGATTAAAGATGTGCCAAACTAGTGGCGAGCGATGCAAACAAGTCAGGAAGGAAGTCAGGTCAATAGAGCGCGGGGCATAGAAGGAAGAAGCTAATTAGCCAGTGATAGCATAGGAGACGAGCAGCAACAGACTCAGCTGCGCTCACTGTAATTGACGAGATAGGATGCCATGCCAAACGCGAGTTGCTGCGCGTAGACACTAGTAAATGGCTGAATGAACATGAAGAATACCAATCTCTCGCAAGACCAGTCTGACGATCACATGATAAGCATGTCTCATGCTTCGTTTGCTCCGGGTGCAACACAACTGCATCTAATTTTGTATGGGTGTTTCGATGGCTTCTGAATCGGTCAAGAGAAGTGTTTATGGAGATAACCTAGAACCAGACAGTCCAGAGCATCCATAGTTATATCTTTATAGCCATAGAAAGAAGGAAGAATGCCTTACTGTGACGGTCGCATTAAATTGGCCGTCAAGTTCTATCTCTGGGATAGATGTGCCCACGAGTCCAACTAATTCTGCAATGGCTTTGAGCACCGTTCCAAACACGACTCGCGGGAGCAAACGACTACAGTCGCACGGAGTATACCAATTTTCCGCTGAGAGACTGGCAGTAGCATAAGATTCAGATCTAGACTATGTTATGATTTTCGTTTGCTTCAGGTGCAACCCAACTGTATATACCGTATTCTCAACATTATTGCTGCTGCTGCTGTTGTTCCAATCCCGACCGAAGTATTTTGCTGGGCTCTTCCCTGGTCAACCAACACAAACACTCTCATTTTGACAGTCAGATTCACCTCTGCGTTGGTATTTCCCATAGTATCACTCTCTAGTAGAAGAGTTATGCTATTCGAAGTGCTTGTGATATCGTCCATATGGCCAATAACAAGAAAGATGCCTTTGCGCGCTCGGATACAGTCCGGTTGAACAGGAGCAGATGAAGTCGTTCATCAGATATAAATACCCCCTCATCATCTTGACATTGAGTTGGGGATACAGAATTAGCGGTATCTCAAACATACCTGGTTCTACTTTCAGTTTCTCATCTCCCTACAAAGAGACCATCTCACAGATCTGCCTCCCATCTCACCAAGAACAGCCTCCCTCCCTCCCAGCAAAAACAATGGACTTCATCAAGAACCATGAGCATCAGCATGAGCAATCGACCAACGACCCAAGGGAAGTTAAAGAGAAGCTATGCCAGCTTATGAAAGACAGTCTGCATACTACAGCAAACGGTTCCACTGAAGCTGAGAAGCAGGCACATCAGTTAGGTTCCTCTCCTCCTCTTGACGTTTCTCCCACCAACTCGTCTCCAAACCCCGACAACGACAACCAAACGGACAAAGAAGGAGACAAGCCGAGGACCGAAGCAAAGGAAGCAACTGGGTCCAACAACGACCCGTCTCCAAGCCCCAACGATGACAACAAGACGGACAAAGAAGCGGACGAAGACGCAGACGAAACGACAACCCCAGCAAAGGAAGCAACCAAGCCCGACGATCAGCTGCCCCAGCCATCGGAAGACCAGTCGAATACCCCCGAACCAGATACAAGCGAAGCCGAAGGGCTGCGGCTCCAGAAACGAGAGCACAATAGGGTGTATGGGGAAAACATGCATGCTGAAAGTTGTTGCGTGATACCGGACGAGGATTGCTTTGGCCATCTGAATCCCAAGGAGACTGGTGAAGATGAAGATGAAGAGCTACAGCGCCAGAAGCGAGAGTTCCATGAGGAGATATATACGTTGATAGAACGAGGATGTGGAATAACACTGACGCCCTCGGGTCGCGAACTTATGGCCAAACTCTCATCAGAGGAGGAGCTGAATGCCAATGCAGACATTGGAATCAATCCTATCGTGTTTTCCATACTTTGAACTCGTTGCTCCTTTTTGAAGAGGATATGTTCCAGTGCTACGCGTGTCGGCCACCCGCGGAATCGCCATTGAAATCAGTCGCGGTCCGGCTTTCTCTAGCTACTTGGAACAAGGATTGTCCCTCCTTGAAAATGGGATCTAACCGTTTGTGAAGATCCGATCGCATTGATGATTGAAAATGGTATTTGCATTCTACCTCATTTATCCTTCGTTTAGTCCATCAATAGTAAAATCATTCTTTTCAGTTGCACCGTGTGTAGACAAGAAACATAATGTCCAATAAACTCCTCCATTATCCCAAGTGCCAATTTCCCTCGCTTTCATATTGGTTTGATGATAGTATCGGACTTCTCAAAATATGACCATGGTTTTAATTTCAATACTCTGCCGTCGATCAAAGCCCATATCCCACGACCTAAACGAGCCGTGCGGCACGCCTTTGATAAAAGCATGACTAAATTAGTGACAGCCAGTGAAGAAGTAATCGAAACACTATAGCTGACATACCAGGCTTGTTCTCAACCCTGTTACCTCCCTGATAGAAAATCCAAGCCTCGGACGGCTGTTGGTTGTTTATAAAGTACCATCTCTGCTCAGGGTCATGCTGTAGAAAGCAGTTCTGGGAGGTCGCGCTAGAATCGTAATGCGTCACAGGAAGTAGATGCTCTGGCTTCACCGTGCGCTGATCGCAAAGGGCTAATGGGTAGTCTTGTACCGGAAGCAACGGCACCCAAAAGCTACAGATTATCATCAGCCAGGTGTTCCAAGAATGATAAGTATATGTATCGCATACGTATAAAATTCATATTTCCGCGATGGCGCAATGTCTACACCGGAGTTCGCACGGTAAGTCTCGAACATATATGCTCCCGAGGGCCCCGTCGTGTCTGAGGCAGAGGTCAGCACGCGAAATACTGATGAGGTAGATATCCTTACCGATGTGGGCGTACCCAACCGGTCCACTACCTGATGGATGTTTTCCGCGCACCTTGGAGATGTCAGACATATGATAGCTTTTCTTGGATCGGAAATGAACGCCAAGTTACCCAGTGGAAATATATCTTGACGATCGATGCTCCTGTAAGCCTCTGCAATATCCGTTTAACTTCAGGGTAGAGTGTTGCGCGGATCTCAAAGTCATCGTCGAAATCTATATACGACATTTTGGTGCTGAGAGAGTATAGACAGAATCCTTGTTCCTGTATCGAGAATTCGGTCTCCTTTCCTCTGATATCTTCGAAAGATACTTCCTGCGGGAACGAACTGAAATTGCTGGAAGCGAGTCCGTCATAGGAGCGGTACAACACCATTGTGTGGTAGTCCTGTTCCTTTCCGAGGAAATCCAGGTAGCCCTTTGTTCTGCCCACGGATGATCCAGCAAAGGCCATGATAGCTCGCGTGTGAAGATATCACGAAAAGGATAGCTCGGTTGTACGGAAGTCACGAAAAGAACAGCTCGCGTGTGGAATTATAGCAGAATAAGAACTTGTGGACTGTGGGTGACTGATCGAAAGAGTCGGGAATGGTGACGATTTATATAAGAAGAGGGGCGAGAGAGCCGACCGGGCACACATACTGCAGATGTCATGTGTCCTCATGGAGCTCTGAATATAGAAAGCATTATATAATGAGAATGAACAGGGCATTCAGACACGGGACGCTTCAAGCTTCAAGATTGGCCAGAATGGATGAAGGCCTATGTGGATATTCTGGGTCATGATAGACCCGGTGTCACACAGGCGGAGGGTGGGTGCCTGAAGCAGAGTACTCCTCAGTAATTGTCAGTCACAGGTCTCTGAATCCCAGATTCGGCCTGTCAATACCTACTTCTAGACGTAAGTAATTTTGTTTTCCCTCTTTATACGTGTTGGAGGCAACATTAAGTTTCTCAGAATAATAGTCAGCCTATCAGAGCCGTCAATCATGGCAGGGGTTACACGGGAGCTGCAGCAGAAAATGGCTGCTCTCTTCGTGTGCCTGCGTCGAGAGTAGCAAATGGAGGCCCGATTGACTCATTAGGAAGACACATGATCCCCGTAGCAGGTAGCATAGTATCGTGCCCTCAGGTAAGCCATGTTCTCATGTGTAACGCATGATGGAAAAGACTGACGAAGTCCAGAGAGGCGGGACTTGGACACAGATCCCAGCAAGACGAGAACTTAATCTTCGGTTTGTGGCTTGTCAACGTGACAAATATTATTCGAGAGTGGTATTCCCCTGGCGCATACTATAGACAGCCACTACAGGCATCACGGCCACAGCCACGCAGAACCTCAACGGCGAGAGGGAAAAGAACTATATAAAGGAAGGCAGACACATGTTGAAGGTACCTCGACTGGTTGCTTTCATTTGGGGTAAGGCGGGGGTTTAAATAGGAATTACAGGCCAGAAATCATAGCGGTGATCATGATTAAAAGGAATGAAAGGGGGGAATAACCGGATGGAGAGGATGTAGAAAAATAAATATTCGAATGAGTGAATCAAAATGAAACTGGAAAACTCCTACTGCAGCGTAAAATTTAAACCATTGGGTAACCAGAGTTTACGGCAGGTCTCTAAGCGGTCCACGGTAGGGGTTCCCGTCCAGACGTCCGGAGCCCAAAGTCTATTTCCACATTTGCAAATTCACAATAAATCCATGAGAGGGGAAAAATGGAAGCACCAAAATAAGAAAAGAAGGAAACCCCGAACAGGAAAGGATATAATAAAAGGGGAAACAAAAACAGTTTTCTGGCGAGATGCAAGCGTTACACTCCCGTCCGTTGAGGGATACACAGAAGTCAGCGACCATGTTATCTATAATACCTTACCTAGGGTCTCAATTGGACAGCCAAGCGAGTCAGCCATGCATCTGATGGTCGAATTTCGGTTAGGTAACCGATCCTTGAAGGCTTCCCAAGAGCTTGTCTGTGGCTATGCTTGATCCCCTATCTGGAAGGCTTAAACGATAAGATTGCTTTTACCTCGGTTGATACCGTTGCGAAAACTGTAGACAGGGTGCGGTATCTCCAGCCATAATACTGAAGGTGAATAGATATAGTAGTGGAAAATACCACCTAGCGTATCTAGAGTCCTCATAAAAAAAAACCTCTATACCGATCAACGAGCTTATAGCTGTCTGGTTTGGCAATATTTGCACCTAGAATTCCGGATGCTAAGCTGCGACATTATTTTAACCTACTGTCCGAGGGCACTGCCCCACCAACCAATTTAATTTCCGCACATCTTCTGGGGTGCGGTTCCGCGGATCACTGGGCTACCCGAGCTAAGTATGATCCACTCTCGGGGCATCGGCCGCAAGGGGATCTTTGTAAAGTGTACGGAGTAGCGAAAGCGGTAATCAGCCCATTTGTCTGGCACATACTAGTCGAAGTCAGAACCCAGTTCTGTGCGCTTCAAGTGTGATTCCTCAGTAGTGCATTCGAGCTAACCGGTCAGCCATCTGGTAAAAGTCTAGATTCTAAGCCAGGTAGCATAAAAGCTGCAAGTGAGGACTGTCAAAATGTGAAGATGACGTAGTTCTTTTCTTGGCAGCAGAACCGAAGAGTTTATTGAGCATTGTTTCTGATTTTTTTACTATCTCTTTTCTCTTCATCTTTAATATGTTCTGTTTTATTTTATTCCAGATCAAGCATCCCATTATCTTCGCATTCGACCGGATTCGGTTACCATACGATCATACATGTCCGGTATGATGATTACACCTCTTCATTACAGGCGCCCGCATCCAGGCTGCAGCCCAACGTGGCCTGAAAACACACAGAGACGAAAGAAACTGAATGAGTCGCTCGGTGAAGAAACCTGCTTGTCCAGCACCACTGCTCTTCCAGGGTTAGAGATATAGACTTTACCACTAGTCCACTTTAGGCCTGGCGCCTTGCAGTGACGGATTCATCTGACAGGCGAAATGCTGAGAGGCAAGAGGGGGAAAAGAGGAAACAAAAAGGAATAGAGAGAAAGAAATGAAATGTATCGACTCGGTAAGAAACAAATGACACCGAGCACGCACAGTACCAGTGGCACGGAGTACTCGCAGGGATCTCTGCATTTCCGACCGAATGCCAGTCCTCCCTTCCTTCTTCTCTTCCGACCCCGTGTGTCTGACTGTGTGCCTGGGTCAACGTACATGCTGGACCTTAAAGAACCTACTAGTACTATTCAGGCCTTTCGTCGGAAAAGTGTACCGTGATAGTTGGTTGTATCACACTAGTCCTAAAGAGTCCTCAGACTACACTAAGTAGTAGTTGAGCATGTCATGTCACGGGGTTTAGGTATGGGTTGGGAAGCTGCTCCTACAGTCATGGTGATCTAAAGTACCACCGTAACCTTATCACACAGTAACGGCCGGTGGGGGATGAGGCTCTTCGAAGTGTCACACGTATAGTCAATCAACGGGGGCGGGGCAGTGAGGATAGTCGTCAGAGAGGACCCCAGGCGTAGGATTCAGAATCCCTGGAGACTAGCTGCATCGTGGCGTCTTCATGACAGATTTAGTCGAATCCCCCCATCCACACTTAGGCTTTTCCTTCCAATCCCTTACCTCTCTGGGTAATGATGTTTAATCTCTGTGTTTTGTAGTACAATAAACTTGATATCAAGAATAGCTGGGCTATTTTCCTGAAGTATACACTATACACACACGACAGGTTTAGAGAAATCCTAACAAAAAGGCATGATTGATTTTTGGGTTGATTCTAGAGAATAATAGCGTGATTAGAATGGTATGAGTCTTTATGGATTTACTACTTATTCTCATTATTAATATTGTTAAGTTCTGTACAGGGTTACTATTCAGTCTTAGATTTCTCTGAGCGTGCTCCATGTATATACCTCAGGAATATGGCCTGGCTATTCATTATGATAATAGCAGGGATGGCGTACTATATTACCACTATTGTGGTGGAAGAGGAGTCGAGCGATTGTCTTGGTGATTAAGGGGGACAGGGAGTGGGGGAGGGGCAATCCGACTAATTCTCCGCCTCGACAGGGGATTGGAGATGTGCGGTTTAAGGATCTACATTACGACTTCCGCTAGTGGTGGCGGTGGCTTGGCTGTGTGTATGTGCCAGCGGCGATATGAAGTGAGGACCGTTACTTAGACACTGCGTATAGCAATACAAGAAGTACGGCTAGCCTGTAGTAGACTAGTGCTGATTGATTGATCGATTTACGTCATATCTTGGATATGATACAGCCGGGGTAGCACCCATCCCAAGACCCTGATGGTCGAGACAGAATTTTGTGGAAGTAATACTTTTGTGTAGTGGATGGTGACCATGTGGCTACCTAGCCGCCCGGAGCCACCAAACTAAATCCCAGAGAGGTATTCTTTCTTGTGTATGATAATTTTTGTTCGACTGAGTAATTCCAATACAGGTTAATGATCCTTCGTTAAATACTCTGCTCTGTTTAGTACCTACTAACGTAACTCCCGGCCGCACCGGCCACCCAGTACACCGCCCAACGCGTTTCTACATACAGCCACTCTTTTCATTAAAGGCTGTGAATTAGCAATAAGTAGTACAGTGGTTCTAGGGCGATGTGCTAGGGGTGGCCGGTGCGGCCGGGAGTTACAGTCGCCGATCCCGTTAGACATGCACGTGGACCAGCCCCGGTTTGATACCGCAGCTCTGTGCAAGCAACTGGATGAATCCTTACTAAAGCAACCCAGACCGGAAGTGCATCTTTTGGGAACACTTGCCATAAGATCTGTCCCACACTCGGCGCTCATCTACTCAACGGCGTCGTGAAACGTATAGATAAGGGTGCGGTACCGACTCTGGAGACAGTGACAAAGGAAAGGTATCGCTACAAGGACTGAATACTCAATGCAGTGCTCTCCAGGTTCCAGGTAGAACACTCAATTGTACTGGTGGAATTTTTGCTGTCGGGGTATGGAGATGGATTCCCTAGCGATGCGAGCTGTCAAGCAGCTGTATTATTTCACACTCGCACTATTTAGTGGAAAATCCCGGAGCAATAAATTATTTTACTTGACAGGATCATGTTTTATCATCTGATTTGCTTGGTCACAGCGAGTGAAACCTTGAATTGTAATTATTAGATGGTGTATACAGGTCACTTGACCTCTCTCGAGAAATTTAGAAAAGCTGAAGCTGGGTCAACGGACTCAGATTACCCAATCCACTGGATTTATGGATTACTGACCCCGTCGATCTGCAACTAGTACCTGTATACGAGCAAGGCCCTGTCTTCATGCTTGTGAGACCGATGGGCGGGATATCAGCCTCCAGGCTAGGATAGTCACCTCCCAGGACCTCTTCCCAATATGAATATATAAGTGCAAACTTCATCAATTCTAAATAGACTCACTATTCTTGAAACCATTGCTGATCGTATTCTGAGCAACCCGAGACAACTAGACAGGACATTTAGATATCATAGAAGTATTTCCAGCATCATTCACAGCTTTATTTATAACTGATATGGACTCTTTCCTATACATTTAAAGTATATTCTGGACAGAAAGCTTCATGCCCACTTTATGTCGTTGAAAGCAGGCATTTGAACATTCAGAGCCTGCGGGTGACTTATGTTGAGACATTCACTGCAGCCAGGCAGCTGTCAGCTGATCCTTCGCCTTTCTTCCTGCGTGGTCTCTGACCACCACCTCTTCCAACACACACCAATCATTCTCTTGAGATCAGATAGATCAAATCTATATATCTTTGACCCTTCGTCTTGACAACTTACGAAATATGGCCCCGCAAAGACCGCTATATTCAAATATTAAACCTAACAGCCACGAGCCAAAGTAAGCCATTTTGAAGCATCGGAGGAACTCGGGCATGATTTTTGACTTCCAGTCATCTTTTTAGACTCGTCATGAAATGGAGGGGGGATATTCTCTGACGATTGACCATCAGACAACAGCTAGTTGGTTAATATCTCTACTGGTAAATTTTCAGTATAACAAATCGATCTATAAATCATTACATACCCCTTCTATCTCACCCAATCCGCACCACCTCCTCCTCATCAACAACGCCCTCATACTGCGTGTTCCCCATAATCTCCTCCACCGGACCCAGCAACCGCGCAAACGCATCCCGATCCAGCACCGCGACAACCACATCCGTGATGGCCATGATACTCGCAGCTCGTGGCGCATTCTTCCGGAAAGCACGCTCCCCAAACCACCCGCCCGACGTGTACGTCTTCACGCTCCCCACGAACCCCACTTTATAGGCGCGAGCCTCTCCCGACACGAGAAGGAAGAAATCACTACCCAGGTCCCCCTGTAGGATGATGGTATCTCCAGCGCAATACCGCCGAGTCTGCAGCGCCTCTGCGATCCTTGAACGCTGCCGCCCAGACAGCCCGGCCAGGAGCGGGACACGTTCTAGAAAAGAGGTGTGCACTCGTCGACGGGCGAATGCGGATTCCGCCATGATGCGGCGGAAGGATACGCCGTCGATGGCCCAGAGGTGACAGTCCGGCTCGGTGGAGATGATGGTTGCGGCGCGAGGGGCATTGTATAGCAGTGCGAGCTCGCCGAAGAAGTCGCCGGGGTGGGCGGATCCATGTTTGGTGCCGATGCTGGGGGTGGTTGGCTGTGGGGTGGAGGCGAGGGTGATGTAGATGTCGAAGCTGCCTTTCTCGACGATGTAGAAGTTGTCACCTATGTCGCCTTGTGTGATTACCTGGTAATGTAGGTTAGCGTGTCGTGAGCTGTGTTGCTCCATGCTAAGGGTGAGGGCCTGTGGTTATTCATACATTGGTGCCCTTGATAGGAACGGCCTTTCCGACAAAGGCGCTCAATAATTGTGCATATTGCTCCTTGTCCAGGGCGGAGAAGAGAAAGACTTCTTTCACCGCGCGCACGAGACGATGGGCTTGTTCCTCGGTCATATCAAAGCTGGTGCTTGGCAAGCTCTGCTGGCCGGGCACGAAGGATTCCGCGGACACAGAATTGCGTCGAGGCAAGGGATAATGGGATGTATCAGTCGACGGGGGCATGTCATCACCGGAACCTGGCAATGTGCTCGCCCGGGGACAGAGGGTAAATGGGTCCTGGAATGAGAGAGGCACGGATACCTCTGGGTGTCCCTCTGGTGCTAATGTCGGAGAACCGCTGACATGGCTGCAATGCTCTGCTTCAATCCGTCCAGGCATGACTATGATATCGCGTGAGTTTGTGATAAATTCAGAAAATAGTTAGAATATACAGCTGGGAACTTGAGGTGGCAGTGCCGAAAGTCATGAATGAGTGGGCTCATGGCAGGAGACAAAGTGGGAGGGACGCACACTTTATTCGTCTTCTGGAATAATCATCACGAAACATTGTGAATTGTGGCGTGAAGTGGAGTCTATAGCTGAGTGTTGATAAGCAGCCCCATGCCAGATGCTTGATTGGTGACTGCATACTACACATGCTCGGTATAGCTTCTCTTTCTCCGGCGGACTCTGTGTCAAAGCAGGGTTTTTGAACTACACAATGAATCCTACGTAACGAACTTGTATTTATAGATTGAAAGCAGGCTTCTCAATTGATACTCCCACTTCATAATACCCAGTATATTGGACATTAAGGTGGAGTGCTCAACTTGGTGGGTGTACACACTTCATCATGCCCTGATCCATGATTTTCTATTAGAATTTTTGACCCATATAACAATATACAATTTGCGTCTTCAGACCATTATATTTCACAGCATACTAGATATTTCTACCTATCATTTCATTTAGCGTACTAATCCTCGAGGGTTGACCGTACAGTTAGGCAGCTAATGTTTTACTTGAAGACCTCCCCAACTACTAATCTGTGGATCCGCCCCAGGTCGCTATCTAAGCGATCACGACTTATCTAGCCTCTAGTCTAGTATCGGCTGCAAAGAACTCTCGAAGAAGGCATGTTACCCCTCTTTGGAAGCTGAGAGTGATTTGCATCCTGTTCATATACTTTATCTGTCTTGAAACTCTGTTCACTGTCTACAGGTATTGATCTGCCGCTGATAGTAGGCTCGCTACAGACCATAGCTTGCATATCCTTGCTGTGGACTGAATTCGAATGATTAACAGCAACAGTGTCAATCAATTAGCACTGCAGACATGGCAATGGGTTCACTTCTCACCAATTGTCAAGTATCCACTAGACCCCCCTGGTGTCTTGTGTCTTTTGCCAATGCCTCCAACATATCCAACGCCCTGACCCACAATAATCCCCTCCCCCCCTCAATGCCCCGCTGAGTGATCGACTGGCCTTGACCGTAATGCGGTCTATACCAACACACTTACTTAACTTGGCAATTGCGCCGAAGTCCAGGTTTCGCTCTAGAAGAGTGACAGAAGCTCCTGTATGGAGACCGGGCGTCGATGGATTCCGATCTGTCGAATAAGAAGCGAGCGGTTGACTTACACTAGTTGGTCCCTCAGACACGTCATCTTTAGCATTCTTGCGTGACGCCTAGCTATCTATAGGTCTCTAATCAGGGCAAAGTTCAGTTGCCCGGCTCATCTTATCTGAGCCAATTATGTATTGTTAAGTTTGCCCCACTCTATAGTCGACATCTTCAGCCATCGCCCGGGTCTTTTCAATCCATCCCGCACATGTCTAGACCATAGTTCCTACAAGCTATATCGCATCAACCAGAATAGCCAGTTCTGGAATTAACTCCTAAACGCGGTTATTTACGCAAGAGGCCAGGGACCCTATCTCTCTATCGCAAGTGTAGACTGTGCAAGCATATAATTATGCGACGGATAGTGTTATCTTTGCAGATCAAGCTCATATGTACGTGTCTATGCTTTAGGAGAACACAATAGTCTTTTTCATTGCTCTAGACATATGAGCTGAAGCTTGAAACAGTCCAACTATCTATCCAAGTGACAAAAATTGTTCAAGATACTGCATATTCTCAGTAAAAATGGCCACCAAATACCCAGGTTTGATCTCCCCAGTTCAACGCAAGTCATGTATAGTAAAACCAACTTCGTACATCGACTTTACATACACCCGCCAAATTCAGTGGCTTGCTATAGCCAATCCCGATAATCCCCAAAGTCCTCCATATGATAACGCGACCATTTCAAATGATACAAAGCAAAACCTTGCACAAAAGCATTCACCACATTTCGAAGGCCCTCATTCTTCAAACAGGCAGCACGCATCCTCCGAACACTGTCAAGACACCGGTCAACCGTCATCTTCAACGCCTCAGTAGCGGAGCAGCCCTCAACTGCAGATACAAGCATCAGGTTGGTATCCTGCTCATCGCCGATAATCGACTCTTTATAAAAGGATACCACGTCATTGAGCTGTGGCACAACAGCCGCCAAATCCGGAATTAGGGTAATGTAAGACGCGATGTCGAGACTACCTTTGGGAAAATTGGCAAATGCATAGGCCTCTCCGATACCGCTCTTCTGCCGCAAAAATTCGGGAAACAGACGGGTGTTGGAATCTACATTGAGACGTCCCTTTTGCTCCACTTCGAAGACGTTCACGCTGATGTAATCTAGTGAGGACTTGAGGATCATGTCTCCGACAAAGGGGTCATAGCGGTCGCAGAGGTCTTGCAAGGATGAGAATAGGCCACGAAGGTAGGCCCACTTTGGCTGGTTGGCTCCAAGCAAGTGTGCGCGGTATTCCTTGAGCTGTTCTCTGAACTCGGGCCCCTCACAGAGATCGTCAATTGAGAAGATGTATGATGTCCACACTCCGATGGACAACTGGGTGTCGCGGTCTAGGTGTGGATAGAAGCATCGGGCCATGAAGGCCGCTCCTTTGGAATACCTGTAGACGACCTCAGAGGGCAGTCCACAATGTTTGAACCGGTTAAAGACTTCATCATCGAAAAGGTCATTGCTTGGGACTTCTGGGATAGTGAGAAAGACTTCTTTGAGAAAAGCCGATACCACAGTAAAGAATTCCCTAGATGGGTCGCTGGTGGCAGCCTCGGTAGGAGCTTGGTCACTGGAGAAGATTTGACCCATTGTTAGGGCGTACTGTCAATAGGCGTTTTTGAGGGAGGGGTGTAATAATAATGTTATGATTATGAGTTGGTCCATAGGCTTTACAAGTCTCGTATTTATAGACATCCATCGCTACCTGGTTCAGGTAGTCGTGATTCACAATGAATTCCACGTGGTGAATGCTATCCATCTGAACAGATAAAGCTGATTGAGACATTTCGTGCACTTAAACTCATGAATTTACACAAATACAGAAGAAGATCGAACATGCGAGCACGGTGGCTTGAGCACACCGGCTTCGGCCCACTGATGTGAAATCTGTGAGACAGCGGGAGATGGGGTCTCACGCTATGCCCTGAGTGGCATGTCACATCTCACACTGCATTAGTCTCTATAAAGTGTTCGCCAATGCCATACTACAGTGATTGTTGGTTTTTGTTGGCTAGATCTGCGTGCATGTGCCACATGTGTGACCTGGAATCTCAAGCAACTCTAATAAGAACAGGGATGATCCCGGAATATCAGATAAGCGGAAGTTTACTTTCATGGCATCCCAACTTCGAGCTCATCTCAAACTCTACAAGATGCAACACAACAAAGAACACTCATGGAAGTATCCTGGTAACCAGGATCTACATATGGCCAAACTCAGCGAGGTGCGTCCGAGTAGTGCCCAAGTGTACATCGAAAGGATGGCCAATGCATACGAATCAGCAATCTCAAGCACATGTCACAGGCATGATGTCTCCTAAACATATCTAAGTGATAACCATTGCATGTGCTTGATCCTTAAACTTCCAGTAGGCATATAACCACTAAAAAATGTGGGGAAGTCAGTCCGAGTGCTTGTTCTATCCCTCTATGGGATATGTGTCAGGCCAAAGCTATCACACAAATATCATGAACCTTATAATCGAACACCTCAGGGTTTCGGTGTGATCATTATGATATCGAGCTCATCGCTTACTTAGCAAATACACAATTTGTCATTCTTGCTGTTTCCAGACTCACTTCACTTTGTTTTCGTCTTTTTCAAATCTTCTGTTCTCCACTGCCACATACGGTGGAGATCATGAGACCATGTTGAATTTCCTTCTCACCACATGATGGTGAGTGACTGCTTTCTTGCTTTCCTCGGTTCCAATCTTAAGCGGTAGCTCGTATCTATAAAGACGTTAACCCGGTCCTTCTACTACAGGCTACCCGTTTCCTCAGACATACCCCTCATCTCTGAACCTCAGTAACTTTTCTAAGCAACTACCGAGCAAGATGGCCATCGTCATGGACGAACTATCTGTTCTATTCCTTCTCAAAGCCTTTGCTTGGGCCTTTGTCCCTGTGAGCACTCTCGTTCCTCCCAGCGATTTGCTTGTGCCATCCACTAACAAGAACAACAGTACTCCATCTTATGCATCATCTACAATATCTTCTTTCATCCTCTCAAACACTATCCTGGGCCTCGTATCATGGCTTCCAGCCGCCTCCCCATATTCTTTCTAGTCTTGATTGGCAGATCAGTCAATACACTGGAAAAGCTGCATGCAAAGTACGGGCCAGTGGTACGCGTGGCTCCCGATGAGCTCAGCTACACCGCCGCAAGCGCCTGGAAGGACATCTACTCAAGTAGCGCAGCTTGGCCCCTCGCTATACCCCGGAATATGGTATTCTTCAGGGCTATGGCAGGGGAATATGGTTTCCATTCTTTGGTCACCGCCAACAACCAAGATCATGCCAGACTGCGACGTTTGTATTCCCGGGCCTTCTCAAAGCAAGCACTGGCTGCCCAGGAGCCTCTGATAATCCAGCATATCGACAAGCTAATCAAGAAGCTTTATGCCGAGATTGATCACACAGCCAAGCCGGTTGACATAAACTTGTTCTTGAATCTGGTCCTTTTTGATATGATCAATGACCTTCAATTCGGAGAACCACTTAACTTATTGGATGATACGACGCACCGGGCCTTTGCGCGCGCCTCACTAATCATAGTTCCCAGTGCCGCCGTAATTCAAGCACTGGCAGACTTTCCCCTGGCCAGAATCATTCTTAAGCCAATTCTCCGCGAAGTATTCAGAATGCGACGACTCTACTTTTCGACAACAGATGAGAGACTCGAAAAACGACTGGCATCGAACTCATATCGCGCAGATATCGTGCAGTTCCTCACAGATGCCAAGTCAGATAACATATCCTTACAAGAGATCCAGGCCAATGCACCACTCATGAATATTGCAGGATCCGGAACATCTGCGGTGGCTTTGAGCGGCCTGATCGCCAATCTTCTCCTTGCCCCACACATTCTCAAAGAACTGCAGAATGAGATTCGGTCAAAATTCCATACCAGTTCCGATATTACTATGAAGAACATGGTCGACATGCCCCTCCTGGACGCCTGCATCAAGGAAGTCCTTCGTGTGTTCCCGGCTGTGCCTGTTACTCCTGGGCGCTTGGTTCCGTCTCCCGGAGTCACTATAGCTGGGAAATGGGTGGCGGGTGGAACACGTGTCTATGTTACTCCTCTTGCGGCTTTCCATTCTACTGATAACTTTCATGATCCGGAGACTTTTGCCCCTCAGCGATGGTACAATACAAAGGAGGAGAGCAGCTTTACGACTAAGGATGTTAAGGATGCGTACAAGCCTTTTTCTGTCGGGCCGTATAACTGCATCGGCCAATAGTAAGTTACCCCCTGCCCCCTCTTGTTTGTAGAGGTTTTATTGGATTTGATCTAGTCATTTATTTCCTCCTAAGATCAGAGCAACACTAACTTTTACAAGCATGGCGCATTACATCGTGTCACTGTTCATTTGCAACTTGCTTCTACATTTCGATTTCAAAATCGCTACGGATCCCAAGACTTGGCTTTCGAACCAAAGGGCCTGGATCGTTTGGCATAATCCACCTTTGAATGTGAGTCTGAAGCCGGTCAAGGCCTAGAGTTGCAACAGGTTCGGAATAGTGAAACGGTTTAGACTGGAACTGGAGAAGCAGCTCGGCTGGATGAGAGAGATGGTGGTTCTGAATAAGCTCACGCACGTGATATTTCTCGTGCTAATACTGATTGAGCTCTAAGGGTTGAATGTCTCTAACCTCTAATAAACTTCGTATCTTATTCTGAAGAAAAAGTAGAAAAGAAGAAAAAAGTTGTCATTACCCTGCACACCTCCAAGTATCTTTAATGCTGACATACTGGGTAGTGTACGACAAGAATAGCTAATTCTGATTTAAGACAGGGATGATTAGTTCTAGTTTTAAGGTTAGTCTGATGCTATATCATCTTCTCACATGAAGTAGATCAATCAGTATCAAGATTCCTCTGAACACGTCATAACGAGGGTCCCGGTTGCTCTGTCTTCCTTTCTGCGGCCCGGTTCGGCTGCCGGCCGCGGGGCATCTTATGTAGGTTGTTCTTTAGATATTAACAAGAATAGAATGACAGTAGTTATAGTATCATTGTCAAGTTCCAATAGTTGTGTTATTGCGACCCTATAAAATTGGATGATATACACTTATGTATATACTCCATATACATATTTAGTTCCGCATTGAGTTAGAACTTATGTTCACAATACTACACTTGATAGCACCACGTGATCTTCTCCTAGAGGAATTTCACACAGTCTGATCACCCCTAATCATACTAGCCTTATCAATGTTCGGCTGTACATCTCTAGTTTTGCTCGAGGCTGACATCCTGGTAACAATTTCCGATGTGTTCCACCAAAGCTCTGCGGCTGAGGCAGGGGCTCAGACGGAGATCGGCATCCAACTCAGCATACTAACCATAACAAGCTAGTGCATCGATGAGCATTGCTGTAACAGGAATGGCCGCCCCCGCAATTCACACCCGAACATCTCGATTGCCTCATTAGGTTTGGTTCGTCTATGAGATGATAGTTGTCGCAAGGCTTTGTTCGGGCAGAAATCAGCCAGGGTCAACACACTTACATGGCAGAATTTTGACATTGATTGATCTATAGCAATCTAAGAGGTGGTTTTTTTATTGAGGCCGATGACTCTCTATTGTATGTAGTTATGACACTCATGAATCCGACATAGTCTTCACATCCAAATTTCTCCATGCCAATATAGTTGGGTAGATACCTAAGCAGTACTTAACCAGTTATTACTCCGTACCAAGATTATTGAATTATCTTGTCAAAGCTTGCCTGAGAATCAGCCTATCACATACTAAGGCAGACTTGTCCCGCCCCCAAACTGACCCATAATAGGTGGAACACCAGGGATACTTTTTTAGGTTAAGATGTGACAGCGGAGTAAGGCGTAGCAAAGAAAAGCTTTCTCGCCATAGTACAGCCAATTATGTGGGGGTATTCAGTATCCTAGCGCTGACGCGGCCCTTGTTTGATGGGGGTGGGCGGGTGAAGTCCCTAGTACGGAGTATAGTTGGGGGCCATTTCTTATCGCCGAGGAGGGGGGAAGGGGAGGGTTTGTATAAATATTTCCTTCTGTCTGGTCTGATCTGAATGTTTGACTCAGAATCGTTCCATTAATTTTTACTTGACTTTCTGCGAAATATACCCCTTTCATTGTACTTTGTTTTGTGTATTCATCATGGGTTACTTCATCCGACAAGCCAGTGCCGGGATCGGCCTCGTCTCGGAAACCGTCAAAGCCCAGAAAGCGAAGTATCAGGAAAAGAAGCACAAAGAGCAACAGCAACATGCGGAAGCGGGAGCGGAATCTCTGCCTCCCCTTGAAGAGACTGAAAGCGTGGCACCTTCATACCATACCGAGGATGGGGGACATAGTCGTCCGTCCATGCAGAATGGTCGTCCTTCCATGCAGAACATCAGCCCTCCTCCTATGGAGAACTATCCCCCAACTCATAATGCCTATCCTCCTACGCAAAACGGTCAATCTCCCCTGCAAAACAACTATCCTCCTCCCATGGATAACCGCTATTCTCCTCCGATAGGGAATAGTTATCCTCCAGTGCAGAACGGCCATCCACCTATGCAAAACAACTACCCTCCTCTGATGGAGAATAACCACCCCCCAACTTACAATACCTACCCTCCTGCTCAGAACGGCCAACCTCCCGTATACAATGGCCAACCTATCCACAACAGTCAATCTCCTATGCATAATATTCATCCTCCCATGGAGAACAACTATCCTCCTATGCAAAATGGGTACCCCCATCCGATGGGAAACAACCAACCTCCAGTGCAAAACGGTCAACTACCCGTACAAAGTAGCTACCCTCCCATGGAGAACAACAATCCCCCAAACTACGCTGCCTACCACCCCTGGAAACATGGTCAACCTCCCATGCAAAACACCTACCCTCCTTCAGAATATGGCTACCCACCCCCTGATAGTCATCCTCCAATGGAGAACAGTTATCCTCCAGCACACAACGTGTACCCTCCTCCGCAAGCATCAAGAGAAGTGAGCGACCCACTACCTCCCACCGAAAAGTCTCCCTCCCCCAAAGACGAAAAATCAACAACCAAAGTCCACGAATACGACACAGAGTCCACATATTCACGAGAATACGACGAAGTCGACAAAGACATCGAGCGCCAATGGGAACTGGACGAAGCACAAGAACATCTCCGCGGGGTAACATACCCAACTACAACCCCCAACTATGAAGACGACGCCGACTATAGTACGAAGCTAGCGGAATCCTTTGTCCGGGATTATCCAGTCCCTGCCAACTGGAGCTACTACGATACATCTATAGACTTTGGCCCTCCGAAGCTTGATTATCCAGTCGTTCTGCCTCAGCGTCGGCCGAAGGATCGGCAGAGAGGATTCGTGCGCGCCTATGCACCCGAACTTGAGAAGTTTGGTATCGATCAGAAAATGTTTCTCGATTATGTCGACCAGGCTAATAAATCCTGTGTTGGGTCTCAGTGGTTTCAGGTTATTAATTTGGCCAATAATGTGGGGGGATACTTTGTTAATCCTACGATTGGGTTTGTGATGGGTATTGTGGCCGATGCGGCTGTGAGAATTGGTATGGCTGTTGATGGGAGACGAAGGTTTGTTTGCATATCCCTATTGACACACACACACACACACACACACACATACACACACACGGATACTAATAGACGAATAAATATAGATCTGGGAACTTCTTCGACAAAATCAACAAGGATTTCTTCATGCCGCGCGGCCTATTCTGTCTCCTCATGACCTACGCCCCCGAATCGAAGGAAGCAATTCTCGACCTCGACGTGAACAACACCATCATCTCCGCCCGAACCCCAGAGAAAGGATTCCACCGGATCAAACAAAAATACCAGACGGCTAACGCAACAGCCAACTCTACCTTCGACCAATTCTCCCCTCTCATCTTCCCCGATCTGAACCATCCGGATGTCGACGAGGCAACGAAGAAAAAGCACCAAGTATTGTTGAGTAAAGTACATCGCGCGATGGAAGGAGTCGAAGAATACTATGATAAGAGAGATCAAGCTAAATTCGTGAGTCCCCATACCCTTTCACTCCTGCAACCACCCATCTAACTTAATTCCTAGATCGCCAAAAATCCCGAAAGCAACCTCGCCATGGGCCGCAAACCGGAATTCACTTCTCGATACGCAGACCCCACCAACAAAGCCGCCAGCGGGTCCCTACTTGCCATGGCCACCGGCGGGAAATTCACTGATGATACGATCCTAGGCTGGATGGGTATCGAGGGAAGATCTGCTCGTGGAGCGAAACCGTCGTTCTTTGGTGGTCTTGCGGATGCTGCGTTAAGAAAGGCGAAAGGTGATAAAGAGCTTGAGAAGGCTCGTGCGGAGGGAAAGCCTGTTCCTCATCAGAGTACGAAGGGGTTTGTGGGCGGTGGGTTGAATAAGTTGTTGAAGCGGGTATGTTGCAAATCACCTTGGTACTATTTTTCTTTCCCTTGATTGCTAACGTCTGGTCTAGAAAGTTATATATATGATGATTGTGAATATGCCGAGTGAGGAGGAGATGAGAAGGGCAAGGCAAATGATAGAATAGACCATCGATATCCAGGTTGTTTTTGGTGTTTGGGACCCCATACTTTATAGTTGAGTTCAATATTCTTCTTCGTTTCTTATTAAGTATTAGACGTCTTCTCGATGATTTCGAGCCTTCGTGTGCCGAAGTTGCGGATGAGCTGGACGGCCATGCCCAAATCCGACGGACCTCGAAGTGTACATAAACTTCAGGAACTTGGGAAAAGTAGGAAGGTCTGGAGAGATGAAATGGTGTAAGAGAAGACAGCAAAGTAAATCAGTGGACAGGATTTAAACATGTAGCATCAGTCATTCGTAAGCTGCAGGGGCATTCTGTATGGCTGAAGTATTGCAGCGAAGAACATGCTAAGCTCGATCAGCAACAGATGTTGGAAATTGTGGTCGAACGAGATGCTTCCAAGGTAGGTAAAAGTCCCGAGCCCATCAAGGAATGTCCGGAGTACCTCCAGTTTTAAACTAAACAAAATACCTAGCGCATGGGGATGATATCATGCATTTCCATCGAAGTGGGAATTTCCAATCGGTTCTGAGACCCTTTGCCCTCGGCAATATTGCCAGTAGTGAGTTGGGATGGGGATCTCGACTCTCGCAAAAATTGCCAGGTTACGCAGACGAACCACAGCGGACCGTGTTACAACTCCACATCGATAACACCGCAGAATGGTGATGGGCCATCTAGACTATTTTCTAATCTAGATAGCCTCAATCGGCATGTCGTAGGGGAAAAGAAGAATAAATTAGGATGAAATGAAATAAAGCAATTTCTCTGGACAACGCACTCGGGAATCGGCAAATGTTAAAGTCCCGATGTCCCGAAAAGGGATCTCCTCGCTTTCCTTTGCCTCCCTCTCGAACAATCCATCCGGCAGTGATGTTGGGGTTACGCCTGTCTCTAGACTGTCATGCCGCGTCATTCTGGCTGGTAAGGTACATGCGACCGGAAGCTGAGAGAGATTGAGGACTCCATTGGTTGGGCGACAGAGTACCGGGTGAGGGAGTGGATGAGCTAGTGGGCTGGCTGTACTGGTAGGACATTGGTCATCTGAGTAAGTCGGTCTCTACGATTTCAATATTATCTCACAGTCTAATACAAATTCTAATACGATGGGAAGAGCAGGTTAGCTTGCAGAGAAGCAAGTCCGTCTCCATCGCGATTGAAGACTATTATTCCGCCCACCGCCCTCAAAAGAGAGCTAAGCATCTAGCTCAATTTCGCCCTCAGCCTGGACAGCGTGCATAAAATTCGCCTTGAGCGGAGTCACACTAGCGACGGCCATGATTAGTCCATCTGCACTTCTAGGTCTTCTCTGCAGGGTCTCACTGGCCACCTACCTGGTTTTCCCACCACGCACCATCCAGTCATCATCCATATCCGATGTGCGGTCCGTGCTTCCATGAATATCAGCCAAATCCGGCTCCCATCGCAGCAGCGGAGGAGATTGGATCTTGTCATTGTCATCCAGCGCAGTAGTTGTATCCCCGGATGAAACCTCCCGGAACGGGCTCTCCGATAGCCACCGATTGGGCCGGATCCGAGAATACATGACTTTCCTCTCTCCCGCAGCAGTTGTGGCAGGCTGCAGAGGGACATTGATGGAGTACAGCTCCACACCTTCGTCCCAGTTGTGATATAGATAATTGATAAGGCGAACCGAATGCCTCGACGCCTCTGTAATCATATCCGAATCGTAAGAGGGGAGCTTGCTCGGTGGCTCGAAGGATAAGGCGATAGACCTCTTCCCGCATAACGCAGCCTCCAGAGCCCCGCCGATTGTACCGCTCGAGAGCGAGAAAAGAGTCGTTGTATTCGCTCCGAGGTTTGGGCCCGATATTACCAGATCCACTGGATTAGGTCTCTCCTCCCCCTGATCATGTCTGTGAAGAGCATGGCTGTGATACAAGCCGATCTGCACACAACCAGCGGGTGTTGAATTGACTAACACCCAGGGGTGTTCATGATGGTTTCCCTCGTTGCTACTGTGATCCAGCGGGAGGGGATCATTGGATTGGAACAGCCTGTCAGGGTAGTAATACGTCGGGCGGACGATCTCCCCTACAAAATGTGCTTTCCCGATCCAAGAGCGTTGCCGGTTTGGCAAGACAACAGTGACAAAGTGTCCCTGGGCTTTGAGTTCATTGACCAAGGAGTGGACAAACGGGGATCCATCCCGCGACGGCGGCCCGTCATCGTTGACAACCTGACAGAATGAGAGCCTTAGTCACCTTCTTGCTTGATTTGGTAGATTCTCGTATTCTGTTACATATAGATGGCTCACATCGTCTTCATCTATGAGGTCTGGATGTAGTAGTAGGATTGATGGCTGTTACTTACTAGAATATGCATTGGTAGTAAATAGTTTGAAGGTGAGGTTCTGCCGCAGTGATGGATGGGTCGATGAGACTCGAGTCTGCTATCCCCTCAAGAACGCCTTGGAAAATTCGCTGGCGTGGAGACGAATACCACTAGATGAGACATTGGCTTCAGACTGCCGCTTAAATAAGTTGCTTCTTGTGGGGGATTCCTTAACATTGATCAGTTAGGCAAGAATCCGATAGAATCCTGTGAATGTATTTGGTTGGTTACCAAGAATCTTCAGGGCAATGTTCCCGAGCTCAGAGAGAGAGAGAGCGCGCGAAAGAGGAAGATTTACCGAGCAGGCACGGAGCTATCTATCTATAGCCAGGCCGATTATGAGAAAACAAATCCTGCACACCATTCACAATCATGAGTAGCACTCACTACACGATAATACTAGGAGGCATCCCATTCTCTTATCTTTCCTGCTGTCCCGAAATTAGAACTTCTCGGGCGTCTCCACTGCCAACTCCAAAAGCCACATGGGTCACGTACATTCATATAGTAAGTTGTGTATGGCAGCTAGTATTTAACGGACAATGTTTCTACTAGTTCAGGACCAAAAGTCGTCTTCAGTTTCTGGTCTCTGCAACAGATGTATCCCGACGTTTCTGGAGGCATAGTCGAATGTTCAACAACAGAAAACCAATTCGGTTCGAGCTGCGGTATGCCGCCCCTGTGTTTGATATACTCCAGGTCCAAATGGAGATAGACTAATTGACTCTTTTCACTGCTAGGCTTGACCGATCCTGTATTTTTATTCCAGTCTTTCCGGAAGACCAAGCAACGAACATGCCGTCTATCTCTGGGAAACTCTTTCTATACATTCCCCTGGATATTTCTGTCAAAGCTATCGAGGTGAAAATAGTAGGAAGCTTGAAAATGTAGGTGAAAACGAAAGAAACATGAACAGATAAATAGAGAAATAAAAATTCTAACTCATCCCTCCCTAGACCACGCCCTGAGATCATCGCGGGACCCTGCCAGGGTGGCACTACCGTAGAACGCAGCCAAACTTTGGCCTCGTCGAGAGACAACTCATTCCGACTACCAAGGGGAAGGTATGAGTTTCCGTTCGAGTTGCCTCTTGCCCGAGAAATGATGGATACCGTCACTGGTGTGGGGCACGAGTATCATTCCTACGAAGTCCGGGGTGTTGTTCATCGGCACTTCTATTCAGATATCGAGTCGTCCTCTCCGCTTAGGATTCATCGGACCCCCAACGTCTTTTATGCGAACCTGCTCGATCAAGTCGTGCCGGTGAGTGTTTCTCCCACTACCCCCTTTCGCTTACCTCCCAGGATAAGTGAGTGAGTGAGTGAGTGAGTCAGGATTAAAACCATAGCCCCTACCCCTAGTCAGTCGAAGAGCATCTGAACGAGAGACTTAATCTCCGATACCGAATCTCGATCCCCATGCACATCCCTTTCGGAGCAAGCTTTCCCCTACAAGTCGAATATTCCTCGCTATCGGACCAGCCGCAGAAAGGTCAATCGCGATCTGATATCCACCCCCGCAGCATCACCATCCACATCACCGAGACCCATGCCCTCAAAGTCACGCCCACAGCTTCGGATGCAATAAACTACAATAACCCCCTACCTCTTATTTTTCGGAAAGAGCATGTCATACTTCACCAGAGCTACACGGTCCAACCACCTGCAAGAGCCCTCTTGCCCGAGTCTTTAGACTTTGACTACTCTTCAACAATACCCGTTCACCTTCCACAGGATTTCCACGCCTGCACGCAAGACGTTCAGTCGGAGCTGATCAAGGTGCATCATAATCTACGTTACAACGTTGAATTCGGACGCGAACGCGAGGACGAAACAGAGTCTTCGCAACAGAACAAGGTAGCTAGCCCTACCTACTTTTTTTCAATCTTGCCTATCTGCCTACCTATACTAGTCGCGATGCGGTGTCAGCCTAAACGAACCAAGAACTAACCGTGCAAACTCCAAACACAGTTCACAGGGACCATTCCGTTCGGAATATACATGTCCCCATGTACAGTCATGCACCATGATGTCGTATACCAGCAGAACCTCCAAGAGCTTGAGAGGGAGCTAGGAATAGGACATGGCGAGCCACTGCCTCCATACAGACAGAGAGAGCATTCTCATCCCCATCATCTGTCAGGAAGTCCGCCAACCTAGCAGTAAAAGCAAGGTTAATATGAGGACAATCTGGCAGGCTTTGCTTGGCTGTTCAGTTTCTTTATTACCAATGTTATACATAGATACATAGTTCTGTCTACTGTTTCTGCCTCTTCAGGAAACCCGCCGATATAGCCACCCTTGCTTAGCGTTCGCTACAAGTCGATAACGATTAGTACAGTGATAATTCAATACCCTGATTCTCTTTGCCTTGGAGATCATAATATACAAGACCACTTCTACCAAGTACACTTGACAGTCTACAACCCATTTCTCCCACTGCCTACTTCTTGTATATAGTAGTAAGCGGCAACGCTAAACCCGTTTTGCTAACAGAATTATATTACTACGCAGTATATCAGAGAGGATTCTAAGATATTATAATTATACGGACACTGATGAAGATGAAACTCGCGCTCGGGCAGATACAAGCGCAGAGATGGTGATTAAGGCCATGGAAGAGGCTGCGATGCAATTGTTGGATAGGTCCTGAATCACCTCCAATGATTAGCACTTGGGTTAGGGACTGGCATGCTGAAAGATACTGTCACCTATACTAGGTAAGAGGTTACTATGGATGTAGTCAGAACTCTTTAAAAAGCGTGTCCTGCGATGCAACGCTGGCAATTCCGCTCATAAATACGAATAATAGGTCTTCCATTACGAAGTCAATGAGATCGGGCCGTTATAATTTAAACTAAATAATTATTTCAGGAGGCTTCATGAAGCTGCCTGGGACCTTTTGGATGGTCTGAAATACATTGCAGATTGGGAAGAATAGTATAAGCTGAGTGGTGGTGGTGGTGGTTGTTCAGGGATAATGATAACTGCAGACACAGTGTGTGGTTAGCATACAGAGTGAATTTCCACTGGTTGCCTGGTAATTGACTATAAATATTATCTACTCTAGAGTGGCTAACGGCCGGGTCAGGTCAGGTTTGGAATAATAAGTATGAAGTAGGATGATCTATAATCCAGTCTAGAGACCACCGAATGGAGGAAATCAATATCAATCATGATTTGTATACGCACACTGCCATGCAAGAATATCTCGTCACATCACACAGCACAGCACAACACCAACACTCCAGCCAGATGAACAAAAGAAACAGGCATGTAATGCACAATATCAGCAACCAATCTAACGCAACCTATCCAGCTAGGCTCTCCCGAACAATAATAACAAAGTGTGTGTCTAAAACCCTGTCCCTTCTATTCTCATCACCAGTTATCGTCCCATCCACCGTCATCCGTACTCTTCCTCGCCGTCGCGGACGAGCCCGCCCCCGTGCCCGTCGTTGCAGACGACGCAGCAGCAGACGAAGTCGAAGAAGTGCCAGCACCACTAGGCCCCGTCTTCATCGCCGCGGTGCCAATAGCACTCGACCTGGATGCGGTTCTCCGGTGGCTATCCTGCGCCGCGACGGAGGAGAACGAGTCCCAGAAGTCCTTTCTTTCCGGTTCAACGCGGCCTCTCCGTGCTGCAGCTGCGGCTGCAGCTTCGTCGGGGCCTTCCACGAAACGATGGAATTGGTCCGCTGCGCCACGGACGCCGTGTTGCATGTTTTGGCCGAGGGTGGCGGCGTGAATGCGCGCTTGAGCTGCAAGGTCGGATTCTGCTATCTAGATGGTGAAAGAGGTCATCAGTATCTTACTGGTACATAGCGAACAGAGATGAGGATGGATGGAAAATGTACCGTCTTCGCCGTAGGCTGGATGTACGAATCATTGACTGTCTTCGCACTCTTCCCCACAGTCGTCGCAAACCATCCGAAGCCCTTTGTCAACGCACCCATAGGATCCTTCTGGAAATCATCGAATCCTGGAATTGCCGCCCCGCTACCTGACGATTTGGGTGTGTTCGTGACCGGCATTCCACCCCCGAATCCGGTGAACTTGCCTCCTTGTGATGGAGGTACCGATTCCGAGCGCGAGGAGTTTTCGTTTCCCAGCCGAGCAAAATACGCCTCGTTGCGTTCCTTCTTGCTCATCTCTGGCACACCGTCGTGCGATGCCGGGGATCCGCCCCGGGCAGCCAGGGGTGTGCTTGACCGGGATGTCGGTTCCTTATTCTTTGGTTGTTGCGGTTTGGGTTGACCCGGAACGTATTCTCTTCCTTCGGCCTTCGCAGCGAGTCTCTCTTTCCACTCCTCGCCGACTTCGCCTTCGTATCTTTCTTTTATGGTGGAATCTTCGAACGTGCGACCTTCGGATTGCGTGATGGGGTGGGAATCGAAGAATGCCTTCCACGGCTCGTTGCCACCGTGCTCCATGCGGAGAATCTCTGAAGTCTTGAAGGCGTCCATGGTGATGGAACGGACGAAGGAGATGTGAACGCCCAGGCCGCGGTGGGTGCCGGCACAGTTCAGGCAGATGAAGGTACCGAATTTAGGGGACGCCTGGATGTAGAATTCGTGTTAGTGGAGGTTATAAGGAGGGCGTATTGTCGGTCGGTACGGTTGTGCGGAATCGTGGCGACAGTGCTGCGCATGTCTAGGAATAAAGGACTGTCATACCCATTGAGGCGAAGGGGCGCCGCAGTCGCAGCATTTATCGTTGCCATTGGTTTTGGAGAACTGGAGGAGCTAGAGGGGGAGAGCAGATCCGGGGAAGTCAGCGTGTGTTGTCCAAGGCCTCCGACGTCGACGCGGAGGTTGTGGCAGAAACAGGGGATGGAGGGGTGATGATGGCATACCTTGGCCCTTGTCTCCGGATCAACCTCCCACATTCGCGACATGATGAGTCAAGGACGAAAAGAGCAGGGAGCACAGATGAAGGTCGGGATTAAGACGGGCAGCAATTGCTCAATGTTCTCCAGCCCCTGGATGCGGTGAGTTCAGCGGCGAGAAAGAGAGGGGCCGATCGGAGGGGAGAAGAGGCACTACCCTTAGCTTCTGTTAGTCTCTCCACCCGCCAGATGAAACTCTGCCTGCCGGGTCCACTTAGCAGTAGATATCGCAACAGACAGGGAATAAAATGAGGATGTCTATGGGACTCGAGAAGATGGTGGTGTCCAAGGGTGCAATTAATTGAAGGCGGGACTTGTCTGCCGAGGATGCGGCCAGCAGTTCCACTCGCCGTCCCATGGCTCCAGCTCAGCCAACTATGGTACCCATTGGGCTTCAAACGGCATCTCAACACCAACAAGATGGGAGATCCACTGCTCCCATACTTATGGTGCTTGTTATGACATTGTCTGTTTCCTGAAAAGTCTGTATTCCCAGAGTTGTTGCCAGAGGTAATTCAGGAAAGTCAATGACAGTGACTAAGGTAGAGCAATCTTCCATAGGCCGTGAATTTGCAAGCCTTGAATACGTTCTGTTACAGGAGTAGACAACCATCACATGAGAAGCAGTGTAGTGGAGAGATGGCAAAGGTGGAGGTTCTATGCAATGCCGGGTACTTGGGATTCGGCTTGGCTGGTCTGAAGGCCGTGTAGTGCTTGATTGCAGCCGATCTCTTTGGAGCTGACCTCATTCCAATATCCCTTTCAGTCAGTGCATTTAGAGAGAAGATTTCTTGTTGATTAATCTTAGGCGACGCGGTGTGTCGCGATGAATTTCGCATTGCACGAGAGCGAACTGAGATAGTCGACCCCTTTACGCAACCCATGAAACTGTCTGATATTTCTGAGTGAGTAAATTGATCTAACGGCGTCGCGCTGACAAACATCATAGCTATCAATCAGAAAAAGCGAAGCATATTTCACATACGATCGGATAGCCTACCAAGGAACTGAGGATATACGTACAGCTTTCGCTTGGCTGACACGTAAAGTCATTTGGTGATTTTGGAGCGACTTTGGATCTCCTTCCATGTAAGTTATAACCTACCGCAATTCCAAAGTATAGCTAGTAGCTGTCAGTCACTCAAGAACTTGCAGCAAGGCGATGGCAAGACAAAACAATCGATGGTACGGAGTAGATAGAAGACACTAAAGCACTTTCACATGACACTGTTGACATAGTGCTTATGCTCTTTACACTCAACATGAGTCACTTTGATAAGGTGATTTCGCCAGATGGTGGCATTATTGACTCCTGATTGGATCCACCGATAAGGAACCACTTTTTGGCTGGCAATGTACTATGTTATTGACAGGCATCGAACTTCCCCAAATCTCAGGCTGGGCCGCCAGCAAATGGCGCGGTTCCGGACTCCGGCGGGGGCTGACAGGGCCAACCGTTGGCTGCTTGTCCCTTGCCGCCGGAGAGCTTATTTAACTCTTGTCTCTCCTCTTCCCCCACAAAGCTCACTCAGCACTCAAGGCCTCACCGCGCCATAGTCCCGCTCTTGATCATCCTTAGCAAAACGGCTGTAAATCATGAGAACATCTACTCTTTTGCTCCTCTGGAGCACTGCAGGAGCAGCTTTGGCTTCTCCGTACCCGCTTCCCGACTCGCAAGTAGTCTTCGCCGCGGATCACGAGGTCCCGAATACACAGGGCAAACACGTCGTGGACGAGGCCATACTCTCGGCGCTGAACGCTCATTCTGACCCAGTCGCTGCAATGGTGTCTCTACGTCCCGAAACTGCAGCTTTTCTAGCTGAACCTCGTCTCTTGCACATTCGGGGCGAAGAGAAGGCGGAATGGATGACCGAAGGCGACAAGCTGCGCCTCCGCCAACGCGGAAAGAAGTTCATGGACATTACCGAGCATCAGGACTTCTACGCAGAGCAGGCGATGGCTTCGTTTGCTGGGGATCCTAGTTAATCTCCCTTTTGTCGAGGTAATTAATACTGTGTTAACGCCCTTTAGATCTTCCCAAGCTGTCCCATAAAGGTCTCGTCAAGCCGCTGTTCTCTCAAATCGAGACGGAACGAATGCACGATATCCTGCAGCACATGACCTCCTACTACAATCGATACTACGGTGATTATCACGGCGAGATGAGCTCCGAATGGCTGCACGACTACATTGCTGCGGTATCTCCACCCCCTACAGCCACAATTTTTGAACATGAACTTACTCAACCAAGATCATCTCCAAATCGCCTTTCCGCACCCACATCTCTCTCGAATACTTCACCCATCCTTTCCGCCAATCTTCAATTATTGCACGCTTCGAGCCTAAAGTTCGCAGCTTCTCCCAACCTTTGACCATCATTGGTGCGCACCAAGATTCGGCCAATTATCTTTTTCCCCTGCTGCCCGCCCCTGGCGCTGACGATGACTGTTCCGGCACTGTCAGTATCCTCGAGGCCTTCCGCGTTCTGGCGGAGAATGGCTACACGCCCAAGGACGGGCCTGTTGAATTCCATTGGTATGCGGCTGAAGAGGCCGGGCTACTGGGCAGCCAAGCCATCGCGCGGTACAAGAAGGAGCAGGGCGCTAAAATTGATGCCATGATGGAGTTTGTAGGTTCCCATCATCCAACGGACTTGGAATCACTTTTGACTTTCGGTTATTAACATCTGCATAGGATATGACGGCTTTTATTGCCCGTAACGCCACCGAGACCATCGGGTTTGTTGCAACCCAAGCCGATGCAGCGCTCACAAACTGGGCCCTCAACCTCAGTCGAGAATACATCTCCATTCCGGCGGAAGTCTATGAACTTGGCCCGTAAGACCCCAGAATATCCCCAGAGGCATGTCAAGTGCTGAATGATTTCTTAGCAACGCTGGATCCGACTACATGTCATACACTAAGCTCAACTACCCCGCTGCCTTTGCATCCGAAGGCAACCCGCTCGCTGGGGGCTCTTTCCCGGGTGAAATGGACCCCTACGTACACGGCATCAAGGATAGGATGGACGTTGACGATGAAACGGGCGTCTTCTCTATCGAAGTAAGTTGACCGCACTCAACCTGTCCATCTTCTTGCTAACGATTTGCCAGCACATGGCTCGGTTCTCCGAGTTGGCTATCGCATTTGTTGTCGAGCAGGCTGGGTGGGATAATACATGGCGGTAGAGTATATACAGGGATGTTTCCAGCTTCATAGCATATAGAGCTGGTATATAGTCATTGTGCTTACAATATATACCATTCTATTGAGTTCTTGACAGAGTTATTATGTCAGAATGGTAATCAGTCTAAATCAATGCGCCCTTAAATCAAGAAGTACACTAGTGCCCATGACCAAAACAATTTCCACTTACACATACCACCTATCTGCCTCACTACGAAACCCTTACCATACAATGTTTACGTTGTGCTCCTTTCAATACTCCATTTCCATAGTTCATGCTATCGTGGGATAAACATGCACATATCCTCGCCTACGTTAAGAAGACTGCGGGATAGCCTATCAAATCGGCAAAGAAAGATAATCCCAGAACCTCTCTTAAGCCGACATTATTCCCAACCTCCTCTGTCTAACATCGTCGGAAACCCCCAAGACTTTTTCCGATATACTAGTGGACGATGGCTCTGGGACGAAAAGCAGCAACTACAAGAGAGATACCGAGAATTCAACATTCTTGAGCTGCAGAAAATTGCCATTCAAGCCTCATCTTCTGAGCGCTGTCTCAGTATGGCAAAAATAGGGAAAGGATCGTACAATAAATCAGTCAAGCTCATCATGGACAATAGGAAGACGGTTATCGCTCGGATACCAAATCCGAATGCTGGACCAACAATTTTGACGACGGCTTCTGAGGTTGCTACGATGGATCTTGTGAGTATTTTATATCCAATGGTCGTGCTAATGGCCCTTTTCATGCTCTTATCTTACTTGGATTCTGGTTAAGGACCATACTTCATATTCCAGTTCCCGAGGTGCTTGCGTGGAATTCGGCTGTCAATTCTACAAATCGTGTAGGAGCTGAGTATATTGTCATGGAGAATGCTACGGGTAGCAATCTTGCAGACGTCTGGGCGGACATGGATCTTGAGCATAAGGTTCAGACAATGAAGGATATAGTAAAATTCCAGCAAAAGTTGCTATTATTGAGATTTTCTGTGTTTGTATACCCATAATGAAGGACCAATTTGGTGTGATTTCTAACTTCACTAGATATGGCTGTCTTTATAATCAGAAAGACACACTTCCTGGATCTCAACCTGCAATAGTTGAAGGAGACAACTACCCACTAGAAGTCAGGCAGAAGATCGCTGAGAGGTTTTCCATCGGCCCGGTTGTTGATACAGCCTTCTGGAGCAATGAGCGAGGAAATATGAATATTGATCGTGGACCATGTTCGTCTCTCTCACCAGTTTCCTATCTCTAATCTAACCTACTAATCAAAACAGGGACTTCTGCAATCGACTACATACGTGCTCTCGCCGATCGAGTAATATCCTGGATCAAGGAACACGCAATGCCACGCTCACCAGATGATCCGCTATTCAGTTCCTACAGCCAAAACGATCCTGCTGAACACATCTCCCTTCTCCAAAAATACCTAACCGTCACTCCTCACCTAATCCCACAGGATAAAGACATCCTAGGGTCATTCTTATGGCACACCGACCTCCGCACTCCTAACATATTCGTCGACAACAGCGGCCACATCACAAGCATAATAGACTGGCAAAGCACATGGGCTGGTCCATTGTTCCTCGAAGGCCGCCATCCGCATTTCCTCGACTACACCGGAGACTTGCTACTCAAACCACCTAAGGGATAACGATACCCAAAAGGACCTCAGAGGAGATCACCCGATCAATCCTACTATACCTCTACGAAAAATACACAGCGAAGAAAAACCCACTCCTGGACAAAGTACTCCGATACCCCAACGGCAAGATATTAACTCATTCAATCCACTTTGTAGGAAACACATGGAACTGAGATATCTTACCTCTACGAGAATCATTAATCAGGATTCAGAAGTGAGTGTTGTACTCGATATATCCCTACATTTACTAAAACACATCTCCGAAGGAACTGGACCACCCTCCACCACACAGACCCTACCACCAAATGCCCCATCACCTTCACCCCCAACGAAATCCACAAACACTACGAAGACAGCGAAGGATGGAACGAAGTGCAAGATTTCTGGGACGCGCTGTCCGGAATCCTCAGCAGGGATGGCTGGACCTCGCATGAGACCTACGATCAGGCTGTTTCGATTTATGCTCGGGTTCAGGATTTGCATGATAAGCAACATTCTAAGACAGACGATAATGTATAACTGCCACTAATAAAACACCAAGTTGATAAAGATACTGTCCCTCGGGGGTAAAGTTGGAGATGGGTTGCTGTACAAACTGGAATACTCTTATCGGAGCTATGTTCTATGTAGAAAGAACGTAAAATCTGAATATTAGTACGTAGATTGATTCCACTATAACCATTGAATCTAGAACACCGAAAGCATGTAAATGATGGCAATAGCAAGTACAAATAGTAATAATGATGAGGTTAAATCGCCGTATTGATTGTAGTGGATTGTTTACACTTCTCGCCACATTGGCACGAATCCAGGCGTTGGATTACATATTGGAGATGATGCAATGCGGGGAAGTTAGTTCGATGGGGATGACAGTACCGCTATGTACTACTATCCAGTTCTGCTCCTGACACTGTTACTATATACTCGGAATACAATATCCATTGTTATGTAGTGAGAAGCTATAAAGTGTCACGACAGAACAGACCTTGAACAGATACAGCGAGTGCAATTTAATCCTACGATAAACACATGCACAAAATATTACAAGGCCAGCCTTGCGGCTAATCATAAGCTAAATAAATATTGCTAAGATACACAGTGTGGCAGAATGGCAAGATTCGTGAGCAAAGGTCAGGTTCCGTCAGACAATCACATTACGGCATTTTCATCTCCAACAACGAATCCCTTTCGGGTATCCGTATATAACATATAGAAGAACCCCCTAGGACCAGATCAAACAGGAAGAATAGTCAAAGTTTTTTAGGCTTTTAAACCTTTCCCCTCTGCTCTTGCGCCTTTCTCCCCATCCGGAAAAGAAATTGGCCTCCAGCCGACGCCCACTATGAAAAACCATGCAGATGACAGGTCCCGACTTCACCTCCTCCAATTGATCCCCCGAGTTTCCACGGAGGTGTGTTCGTTCAGGTGGGGAACGAGATTGTCATTTAAGCAGCGGCGGGAGCAGCGTTCTCCTGTGCCGGAGCCTCAGTCGCCTGCTCGGTGGTCTCAGTCTCAGCAGGGGCGATGGCGTCGTCCTCCTTGCCGGGGCTGTCGATGGCGACCTTGACGGCGATTTCACGGCCCTCGATCTCCTTGCCGTTCATCTCCACAACAGCCTTGTTCTGGAGCTCCTCGGAGCCAAGGGTGACGAAACCGAAACCACGGCCCTTGCGGCGCTCGTTGCGAGCCTGGAGCTTCTTGATCATGAAACGGGGAATGGGGCGGAGAGCAATCTTGGCGGAGACGGGCTGGTAGTCGACAAAGATCTCCTTGAGCTGAGAGGGAATTAGTATGTTACTCTAAACTCTGAAATCATCATCCGTACCTTGTCTTCGGTCAGGTCATAAGGAAGGTTAGCGACCATGACCTTGGTCTTGGAAGGAATGCCATCCTCGGGAGGACCGCGCTGCTTCTGGGGACGAGGAGCACGGGGCTTGCCAGCCTGCTTGGACTCGGTGGCAGCAGCCGTCTCGTTCTGGTTGGTGACCTCAGTCAGGGGAGCAGCCTGAGCGGGAACGTTGGTGGGCTCAGCAGCCTCCTGACCGTTCTGAACTGGGGCCTGCTACATGGTAGATTAGTATCCGATTGGATGGAGCATGAATGACGAGCCACTTACAGAGCGACCAGCACGGGGCAGACGGCCTCCACGACCACGACCGCGGCCGCGGCCACGGCCACGGCCACCAGCCCTCTTGCGGCCCTCGTTACCGCTGGCACCCTCACCGCCACTTGTAGCACCCTCGGCCTTGGCCTCAGCAGGCTCGGGCTTGCGGGCAAGCTGCACAGAGACCTTACGCTGGAGGATCTCCTTTCCAGACAGCTCCTCAATAGCAGCGGTGGCCTCCTGAGCAGTGGCGAGGTCCACGAAGGCGTAGCCAACGGGACGGTTGGTGCGAGGGTTCACGGGGATGGAGACGCTCTCACTGTGAAAGAGCCATTGTTAGATCGGTGTAACTTCCCGCATAAGAATGTTTGACAAAGAAGGGGTTCAGAAATGGAGCTCTGAACAATTGGCGTCCCTGCAGTGGTGGCCACATACCACCGCTGCGCGGTACTACCTCCGATGGCAGCAAGGGGGTGTAGGAAACGTGGCTCTCGCCGGCCCCCCGAACCGCTAGGACCAGCCCAACGGAGCTTAGACCAACCGGGAGGCGAAAGGCCAGGTGGAACAACAACAAAGCAAAGCAAGGTCAAGCAACTTACATCTTGTAGTTCTTGAAAAACTCCTTCAGCTCCCCCTCAGTGGTCGCATAAGCGAGGTTCCCAATGTACAACCGACGTCCTTCATCGGCACTGGCAGCGGCAGCGTCCGTGGACTGCGCAGGGGCGGGAGCAGTGCCGTTGGTAGTAGCCTCGGGGGCGGTAGTGGCGGGAGCAGAGGCGACGTTGTCGGTAGTGTTCTCGACGGCAGTAGACATCTTGATGGCTGAGGACGCAACGGAGTTGAGCGTGGAGAGAATTGAACGGTGGTGAAGTTGCGCGCGGGGAAGTCTTGACCGGGTTTGTGTGTGCGGTTAAGACAAGGACTCAGGAGAGCTAAAGGCTGCCTGTACTTGAAATTCCTTGGAGCAAGTGGGAATGGGAATAGCTTGAAGAGGGGGGGGAGATAGGAGGAAAAGGGTAGCTTGGTGCCCTAGATACGAGAGTTGACGGGGGAAATCTGGATTGAAACTTGATGAAGATTTACCTTGAGAGGAAGGATGAAGTCGACGGGGGGGGGGGGAAAGGAGAAGGTGAGAGAAAAAGGGCAGGCAGCGAGGGCGGTGGCGGGCCTATGCCGAAGGGGGCAGGTTCCTGCCTGAAGATGCCTGGATCAGCCCAGATCTGCCTGAAGATGCCTTGAAGCTGGCCAGCCGTACCAGTTCCGTATGGCGCTAGACTATTCTGGGGTGCCCGACGTGGACTTTCCGTCCGGCGGTCTGGGCGGCCCTCAGGCACCTTCCCTGGAGCAGTTTAGACGCGATGGAGCAGCTGGAGCCCTTCGCAGGGGATCTGACATCACCGGTTGTTGACTCACTCTTCCCATGAACTCACTTTCCACTAACACTAGTGGTTGTTGGGGAGAAGCATCGTTGCTTCCCAAGTCAGAGCTGAGAAACATTCAGCCATTTCGAGTAACTTCCATCCCACGTGCACAAAATACAAACCAGTAAAAAAACAAAGACAATGATTCGCATGGAATACAACTCCTCAATTTTACGCACAATGGTATCATTACTACTTACTCTTACTCCCTGACCTGCAGTCGCCAGTTCATCCTCATTAGTCAGGCTGCCCGCGAGCCCCATCCCCACTTGCCAACTTGTATCTGGCCAGATCGCCCTCTCCCGTCATCGCCACTCCATCCATTCCCACCCGGCAGTGTTCTTCCCAATCAATTGCACCCCTTCTTGTTGATGATGGTCGTAGTAGTACCGGCAATATTTCTCCCGAATGAGGCTGTAATTCCTAACTCTCACAACATAAAATGTTGTTTTTTGATAGCTAAACATGGGGTGTTGGAAAGCTCGATCAATCAACTGCAGAGTGTCGTCTGTCACTCCTGTACTATGCATCCTGCAAACCCGATTTCCCCCCCTGCAGCCGAGACATCAAGCACATGACGCACCCCGTCAATCACCCTTCAACCAATCTATTTCCGTTCCACGAAATCGCCCGACACCCGCCCAATCCCAAACAATCCCCATGATGTTCCTACCTGCAACTGCCCGGGAAGTTCCATTATTGGCCTTCAGGATTAGCGACGTGTAATCTGGACACGGCGGGGTATATATTTTTGCGTGCAATGCGAGCACCGCATCAACAATGCTAGGTATCCGTGCCTTTGATGGTCAATTTGATTCATCATACCACCAAAGTAATTTTTGGTATCAACTTTCCTTCTTGTCAGTACTATCTTTGGGGCGAGGTTTTGGTGCTGTCTGCCACCATGCAACCTTCAGTTTCAATTTCCCCTCTTTACCCCTCCCACCCTTCGGATCCTTTCAACAAATTCGGTAGTAATATCTCATCTTATATCGAAACACGTTAGTCACACTGCAGCCATAGTTATCCGAATCATTGTAATATTCTGATTCCCTAATGATTACCACATTACAGCGGACATCAAACCCGCCTTTCCTCTTCAGGTTACTAGTGAAGAGTAATTAGGACAACAGATCGACACTCTAGAACTATCGCTGGGAAATGCAGTAGCTAGTAAAAACAAACTTACGATAGAATCAAGATCCGAACTTCTTATCCGATAACATAGAACTTACTTGTACTCCGTAGTTAGGTTAGCGTTCAGAATAGTGTGCTTATCGGCAGCTATTCGCATATTTGCTTCTGCGGTTGTTTCATTTGTTGGCGTCCATAATTTCTTTTCGTCCTTTACGAAATTGTGGGTCTATCTTGATATATTAATAGAACAATCTGTATACACTTTCACTGGTGGCTTTCGGTCTACTGCCCAATCTTCCCATCTTTGGCACTATAGTACCCAAACAACATAAGCTCTTGCAATGAATGAAAATCATGTTCACGTGATTCTGCTCATTGATATTTATATTTTCCTTGTTGATCGTCAAGACCTCAACGAGTTACTTTCGATGCTAGTAGAGAATTTTGTGAGCAGACAGGTCATGGAATAAGTCGGTGCTGGACAATAACGGTTGAGTTTTAGTGGATGACTCTAGAGACAGGATTGTCAAAATCTAGTAGTAATAGAGAAGAGCAATGAATTGCGACAGTTTATTGTTGATAAAGACAACGGGTCGGACACTTCGCCCGGTGACAAGGAGCAGTGCGACAGAGCCTGGAGTCTGGTTTTCAGGATATCTCCGAACTATCGATGCTGTGAATTGTCCGCTAGAATGTCTCCATAGGCAATAGATATGCAATGCTGGTCTCGCAACGGACTTTGTCTACAAATCGTACCTAGTATAATAGATCCAATGAACGGAGATAGCGCCTTTGGAGTCGGCGCTCTCATAATCTCCGATAGGAACACCCAGGAGATCCACACCGGAAACAGAAAAGCGAGTATGAATCTTCAACTGTAAGTGTATAACTCATTCTACTACCCAAGCCAAGTCAGCATTCTTGCGGGGACTGAGTGCTTCACCACGTGCCCAAGGAAAGTCACGGGCCAGTCGCGGCACACTCTGAAAAATATTCAAGCAAGTAGCCCATCCGAAAGACTCACCTTCTTTTTTTCCGTACCAACAAAGGCATCGCTTTCAGGAGACGGCAAGGTATCTCCATTGCTATCAGGTCGATCGATCATGAACTCTCATTCCCTGCACCAAACGAAATCACTTGCTCAACGCTGTGCGCATTATTGGCATACAGCAAGAACTACCCATATCTAGTGGTTCCATGATATGTCTCCCTTGAGGAAAAGTGGCCGCATTTTGTGTTGACAGCAATTCGGCTAGAGCCTACATCAAATAGTACTGCAGACATGTGCGTGACAGTGGCCTATATCTAGTCCTTGATAGGATAAAGCGCGTACACGCTGTGTGGATTCTTGAATCAAACCTATCCTCACAGCCACAATATGAGGTTGCCAGCCAAGCGCGCCGCAACTAGCATCAACGGCACACATTATGAACAGCGATGATATGCCGACGGCTCCACCTTTGAATTGGCGACGATCTCGCTTCCGCCTCAATTCCGAGTGCTATGTTTGACAAAGTGCGAGCAGAAGATACTAGAGCCCTTAAAGACTCTGGTAAATCATATGTATTACTGATAGCAGAGCTTAGGTTATGTGGCTGCTTTATTCAAAACCAATAAGCTTAAGTATGCGGCTGTTGGATCGAGCGCGATACGCATCACAGCCCCTGCTATTCAGAGCTGGCTCAGACATACCCAGCAATCATGGACTACCCGTGTTGTACACAATCCCAATATAGCAGTTTTGGTCAAATCTCGCATCATCTCGTGGAGGTATATTTCTTTCTGGGAGCTTTAATTGAACAAACTAAACCTCGATGCGTACAGCGAGAAACACGGCCTGTTAATTTGAAGCCTCATAGGATATCCAGAAACATCCACAATCGACATAGGGCTGTTGGCTCGTTATGTAGTCGCAGGATTGCCGGCAGCATATAGGTCTTCCGTGGAATATCCGTCGGGAAGGAGAATTGCCACTGGCTGGATATGGACCCCGCATCGGCACTAGAGTTGGAACTAAAAGCTGACCCTTGCATATGCGCTGAACCAGAAAGAGGTTTAGCATGCTTTTGAGATATGATACAGTTCCATGATATCCATCATGACTTCAAGGTGGGTACTTCACTTTATCAGCAGAATATGGACAGATCCTCGGTTGTGTCGGATTTAACGGATTTTGGGGGAGTTAAGCGGTCATCAACTTGATACTCCCCGCGACTAGCGTGTAAGCTGCCCACATAGGCGATCTGTGGTACCATAGTCTGAAACTATACTGGAGGCGAGAAGCTACAATCAACAGAACAGTGGAAACTCGACCTCCATCCTGCGAATCCCATTGCTACTATGGCTAATCGGCAAGAGAAGGGTTCCATGCCAGGCCTGTGCTGGACAGGACAGGGTCCACCCGGAAGCAGAGCCATGGGCGATGTCATGACCCTACAGCTGTTCCTATAAGAACCGCCTCCCCTCCTTGCGAAACATTCTCAAATTCTCGAGGTTTGAACACAACTCAAGCAATCAACACTATCAAATATCAAATATCCTCCGTCAACATGGTCAAGACACTTCCCTTCCAAGACATTCAGGTCCCGTCACCTGGCTTTGGTGCCATGGGCCTCAGCTTCGGCTTGGGAAGCAACCTCAGTCTTGAAGAAGCAGAGCCGGTTCTTTTGAAAGCTATCGAGCTTGGATGCACTTTCTGGGATACTGCCGTGAGTTTAGCCCGCCAGTTCCTTCAGTGAGATGCGGGTGTCTAACCCATGAACTCAGGTTATCTACCAAGCGGGTGTGAACGAGAAACTTCTGGGAGACTTCATTCGCAAGCACAATGTTCGCGACAAGATCTTCAGTATGTACATACCTAGCCCACTGATGCAGTAAGATACTGACCACAATGCAGTTGCCTCAAAGTGCGGATTTAAAGTGGAAGACTTTACCGTCACCAACTCTGCCTCGCACATCAAGGAATACATTGAAGGAACCATTGAAAGACTAGGCTTCACACCTGACCTATACTACCTCCACCGTATCGATCCTAGTACGTGCTGTGCACCCATGTACTCTTTCAGACTGGCTGACCCAAGACAGACACCCCTCTTGAGGAGTCCATCCCAGCTCTGGATGAGATCCGCAAGGCAGGCAAGACCAAGTACATCGGTCTTTCTGAGTGCTCTGCTGCGACGCTGCGTAAGGCCAACTCAAGTGAGTGCTTCTGCTGGTATTTCATGGCTGTCCAATGTCTGACCTTCCCCCAGTTGCCAAGATCGACGCTGTCCAAGCTGAATACTCGGCCTTTGAAACTCTCCACGAGACGGACGGTCTGATCGACACCGCCAGGGAGTTGGGAGTGGCCTATGTGGCCTACAGTCCTCTGGGACACGGCTGGCTTGTGGACGACTTCCCCTTCCAGACGCCCGATGACTTTGCACCTGACGATTTCCGTCGCGGTTGTAAGTTGCCTTGCCCATTTGGTATTGCGTGTTATGCCTACTAAACGTCGATAGCCCCCAAATTCCAGGGTGAAAACTTCTACGCCAACAAGAAGATTGTGGACGAAATCAAGAAGATCGCAATCAAGAAGGGCTGCTCTATCAGCCAAGTCGCCCTCGCGTGGGTTGCAGCTCAAGGCATGATTGCCATTCCCGGCACAACCAAGGCCCACCGATTGGAGCAAAACTGGGCTTCTCGGGAGATTGACTTGACAGATGAGGAGAAAGCAGAGATGCGCAAGATCATTGATGCCGCCAAGCCACAGGGAAATAGATATGGTGAGCGTCACCAGGCTTTGGTTGGGCACTGAACGGAGTCGGGTCTTTCAAGTGGGGAATTATCGTTTTCATCGAGTCAGACGAAGCACTCTTTGTTGATGTTTGAAAATCGAAGGCCATTGCAGGGATAAGGATTTGAATGAACAAACTATGTGTATATAATGTCGGTACTCATGGAAAAAGGCCAAATTGCAGTCCTTTGTGTTTCTGTGGTGTAGGATTGATTACGAGAGGGCCCAAAGAGTGGACGATTGAGGATCCAGCAATGGGGGACGCACGGTTGTTGCCCAAGGCAGTCCACGGGGGGCTAGACCGCAGTGGGTGAGAACAGGCAAAAATAAGATTATTCTCTCTGAGAGAGTGATGACTGCAGCTGAAAAAAAAAAAATATGTTCCAGGTCAATATATATACCGATGCATGAACCAAGATGAAAGAACAGCGCACACCTGCAAGTTTCATCACTGGAGGAACAAGAAAGTCCAACGACAAGCCTTGGAGGATCGGCAAATCCACTTGTTCACTAGTCAAGTTAAGGTGGTGATGGCTGACTGGCTTAGTCACGACGGCGCAACCACGGCAGCTTCCTGGCAGCAAATCCCATCCTCCAATAAATAGATTAGCCTTTGCGGCCCCTTTCGTTTTCACTTTCATCCTTCGCCTCTTTGAATTTTTACTTCCTTTTCCCTCCTCTTCCCTCGAGAAACCCCCGTCGTCCATGTGAGAATTCTTCGTGCACGCCGTCTTCAATGGACCCCATCGAGCCCGTCAACGGCTCGCCTGATCCCCACGAAGGCCAGCCACCGTCGGCCACGCCCTCCCCCGGACCGACGTCATACCCCCGACAACGTGCGGCCTCGCTGCGTTCCCGCCGCCCGTCCATTCGCCTCCAACGCCTGCCTTCGTTGGAGCAGGCAAATCTATCCACGCTCCGCTCACAGCAATCGCAACAAAATGGCGATACCAGCAGGACCCCTGGGACCACTCTGTCCCCTCTTCCTGCCATCCCAGCAGCTTCCCCCGAAGACGAGTCATGGCAGGGCAATCGTCGTCGCAGCAACTCCGAGCCCCGACCTGGGCGATGGTCTACGCCCAACCCGGCTGCTCTGGCACGGGTGACGACGGGCGGCCAGATGCGCCCGGTGCAAGAGGAGACGTCGCACCCCATCGTTTCCTCGGCATCAAACCAACAAATGCCGGAGGATGTCCCTCCGCTACCGGAGATACCGAGACGGGGTAGTCGGACCCCCATGCGATGGGCAAGTGGAATGGGGGTGAACCGATTCACGCGGAATCGGGCGTCGACGGTTGGTGGAAGTGCTCCGGCTCAAAACCATGAGGTGGACGACGAATATCGGTCTCATATTGTTGATGTTTTGGACGTCATTGGTAAGCTACCCATTACCTGTTTCATGGTTTTCGTGGTATAGTAGCCTAAATTCTTTCAGATCCGGAAGTGTCGGCCTTATCTACCCTCACGAATGTTCAGAATTCCTTGTTCATCCCGAATCTGGGGCCTCTTTTGAATCGCAACCAGACTTATACGCTCTCGCCGCCATCACCCATGAGAGAACTAGAATCTACAAGTGACGAGGAACGAGCGGATGAGATAAAGGAGCCCGAAGTTCGTCCATCTATAGAACACACACTTACATCTGTTATCGGCGAGGGGGAGGAGCCTCGGTTTGCTGTGCTGCCTGAGGGGAGCAATCTTGCGGGCTGGAGCCCCGAAGAAATCGAAGAGCTTAATGACCATGTCCGGCACATGCTGCATTCTCGACGATCAAAGTTTAAGCGTTCAATGAAGGGGTTTAGGAAATATGTATCAAAGCGTGAGTTATAGCGCTTTCAGATTCCGGTATCTGCCACTGACCACCCCTTCCGCAGCGCTTGGATTCCTAGTTACTCTATATGCCACACTCATCACGCTTTTCGGTCTTGCCTGGGTACTTTTCCTCATTGGTACGTGACTGTCATTTACCCAGCGAATAACCGAGCAGAATGCTAACTTAATACCAGGCTGGATCAATGTCGGGGGCAGGCAATCCTACATCATTAACGTCATCGACAACGTCCTTGTAGCCTTGTTCGCAATCATGGGTGACGGGCTGGCCCCGTTCCGAGCCATCGACACCTACCACATGATCTTCGTCGCTCGATACACGTTCTTGACATGGAAGATCCGACGCAAACGACATCTCCCGGATCTCAAGAACAAGAACGACCTCCCATCACGACGAGAAACAGACGTCGACGTCGAACTCGGCGACACCCCGAAAGGCGAAGAATATGAATTTACCGTCCTCGACCCCGTGCGACAACTAAAGCTCATTCACCACCAAAACAAGCTCTCTAAATCCCACACCTTCTACAAACCCCACGAAACATTCACCCACTACGCATTCCCCATGCGTCTCCTCATCGCCATCGTGGTCCTCCTAGACTGCCACTCCCTATTCCAGATCGCCCTAGGCACCTGCACGTGGGCCATCAGCTACCACGTCCGCCCCTTCGCCTTGACAACCGTCATCCTCTGCTGCTCTATCTGCTGCAACATCACCGGCGGTGTCCTGATCATGATTGGCGACCGCATGACTCGCAAGAAAGACGTCGTGGAGCGCCTCTTCCGCCAGCAATTAACCGAGGAAGCAATGAAGAAGATCCGAAAGAAGAAGCGGAAAGAAGAAGAGAGGCGAAACGCCGAGAATGGTGGCGTGTCACGTTCCCATTCGATCTCTTCCCAGCGAAAGCTGTCACTCTCACAACCAAGAGAAGACGAGTATGAATCATAAGATGCTACTTGGTCAAAAGTACACATGCGTTCAATTTTATGTCCCCCTTGCTTGCACGTTTCACGACCTTTACGATGAACTCAACCATTCTTAGCTTGATTAACAATGATATCCCCAGCACCCTTACTGTTCTTATCCTCTTTTCTATATATTTGCTTCCACCGAACAAAACACGGATGTTCGATCTGCAATTGTCATAGATGATTAAATGGATGTTTGGATCTCTGTACTACTACTATTGGTTCTATATATCTGTCACGTGTTTCTACTATTACGAGCAGATCATTTGCCTATTTTTCCTCTGGTCGTGTTTCTGTCCGTCAGCGACGTTTTAGCTACCTACTTGATGTGCATATACACGTTGCATTATTAACAAAGACGAGAGTGGCTGTTGCTATCTATACATAGTACTTGGACACACTGGTTAAAGCTAATAAACTACTAGCGGTTTGTTTACTAGTAGTAACTCAATTCTTACTTCATCAACGCAGACCTTGGTTACTATTATATACTATGAAACTTATCACGCTACAAATCAACTGACTGACAAGCCAATCAACCCCATCAAAGCACCAAAGGTAATGACAGTATGAGTCGAAATAGTATATATATAGACATGTAAATAGTTGGTGCTCATGTACAAAGTGCTCTCTTTTCCACAGAGCCAAGTAGTAATCACACACACAGTTCAGACCGGGGAGGAATGTATATAGAGACATGGAAGAAAGGAGAAAGTGGAACAAAGAGAAAGAGTGAGTGACGGAATAGAACAACAAATGTCTCGCTCAGGATACTAAACTAAGCATACAAATCCCAGATTGATGCTCGATTTGAATCCGACTGTATGATGAGAAGGAACACGTGAAAGGGAAGAATGTAACCGCCCTAAACACCGCAAGTCGCTGACAAGACAAGAAATGAAAAGAGAAATAACGAAAATTGTGGTAACGAGGGACGTATGGGACGGAAAGGTCATCATACAAAATGGAGTTATTTTTTTCAACCCGATTCTCCAAGTGGAGATGGACTGTTACTATTTGTTATTGGTGCGGCCTTACAGCTCGCTGTGGACGACTCCCTGGTCCGCTGCAGGTTGGGATCGCCGGTCGAGGAGGATCTTCTCGAGAGTGTCGAGCCTTTCACGCGTAGTGCGGATAGCATGATCCATCTCGAGGTCGGACATTTTCTCTTCATTGACTTTGCTGGCCAGTGCACGTTCACTCTGGACTTTGCGAGAGTATTGCTGTGTCCGAGATCCCGTCGACCGACTGACAGTGGGTATGGCTAGTCCGTCCATGCCAACCCTGTCTTCCAGCCAGCTCCAGAGCTCGCTTTCTTCCCGCCGCCACATTTCTTCATAGGCGGCCAGACGCTGGGGTAATGAGTAACCAGGACACCCGATATCGTGGGATACCACAGATGGCTGAGACGGGCGGCGGAAGAAGAGCAAGAAGAGCAGAATGCCGACTAAAACAATTGCGACGTTTCCACCCAAAAGAGGCTTGACTGTGTCCACAACAGGCCCAAGTAGTCCATGGAGCGGCTCCAAGACTCCCCAAGAATTCGCCTGTTGTGCCCGTTCCTCCTCCGCTGCTTTGGCAGCGGCAGCCGCCGCCTCCTGAGCGACCTCGCTCTTCTTGCGCCGTCCCTTGCCCTTGCCCTTGCCACCACCCGTGCGGCCACGAGGAACAACAGCGGCTTTCAGAGCAGCAACCAAGTCATTACCAAATGCAGTTTGGCCATCCATCGCACCTTTTTCAATGGGACCTGCTTTCTGTTAGCACAGCTCTTGCGGGTCGTTCGATATAGTGGACCTACCCTTGAGCCAACTTTTGCCTGACCACTCGATGGTACACGTCATGAGAAACCGTGTTTGATTGTTCGGCGCCCATGTAAAGAGGTACTTGGTCTTGGTCAAAAAGACATTACCGCTGGGGACGTCAGGCGTCTGGGTGCCCAGGGTAACAAGCACGGCCTTTTCCAAGTCAAGGAAATCCAAAGTTTCAGTACTAATGCACTTTGTCTGCTTAGGGCCAATGGAACCGTTCAGCGGCTTGATATACGAATAGTTGCGTGTGCGGCTGTCGTTGGTGAGACCCTTGTTTCCGGTTTCGAATTGGAGCTCTCCCGACTTTTGATTCTCGACAAGGAATTTTGTCATGAAAGCACCGGACTGCGCTCCAAAGACGTAAGAGTAGACTTTTCCGAGAGGTGCTGGGATCACATCATCCTTTACCACCTTATCGTATTGGCCCGCAGGATCAGTATACTCAGTGGGAGGGTGAGTAGGTGGGCCAGGAAAGTCAGTGTCACCATCAGCGGGTGAGCCCGACTTGCTGCCTTTCCCGTCACCGCTGGAGTTGGCTCCAGCCTGTCCAGCCCCATTCGCATTGGCGAGAGCACCTGAAGCTTTGCGGCTAACAGGCTTGGTAGGCATGGACTTGTCGCTCCCATTGACGCTGGCGCCGGCAGCTTCGAAGAGGCTATCAGCATTGTCGCCTTCTTCGTCCTCATCGTAGATCTCGTCTTCTTCCTCGCTCTCATCATCGCTTTCACCAGCCTTTTCAGTCTTATCGCCGGTGCCATCCGTGACCCTGGTTCCATTGGCAGAGCTCTTGAGGGATGGGTGGTTGATCTTCCAAATATTGACCATGAGATCATAGGTAGACTCTCGACTGAGAAGACTGCGGAACGTATGCCGAGCATGTAGCGTTTGGATAGCTATGGCATTCGGGAACACCATCGCAGTGGACTCCTTTTCTATCGCCACCACTTCGTCAAAGCTGATTACAAGGGTAGTCACCCAGCCCAGAATATTACTGGAAAAGCATATGTGACCTTCTGAAATGTAGATTCGACCAGCTAGGATGATTTCTCGTTGCAAGGCACAGCTGTAGTCCTCGATTAGGTAATCGTCTTCGGGCACACTGCGGAACAGTTGATGGAAGTCCCTGTTTCGCTTTTTGCTGGCAACAGCAAAGCCAGTCAGTCGGGGCATGCTGGCATTGGCAGCCGGAGCGCCCAGAGTAATAGCACTGGCACCAATTGCGCCGAGTGTCGATGTAGTTGCTGCTGAGGACCCACGGTGCCGCCGCCGGGCAAGCCGGCTTCGCACGCTTCCACTCCGATAGGGCCGAGTATGACCGATCTCCCCATCGAGTATACTGCCACTTGGTGGAGTTTGGTCGCCAGCGCCTTCCTTCGTGAAAGAAGCACTAGATTGTAGGTCGAGGCCGTCATCCGTCGAGGGAACTAACGATGTCTCAGAGGGCTTTTCGTAGGCCATTGTGACTGCTCGGGCTGCACGACTATCTTCAAGCCTGGCTGCTTCTTCATCGCGTTGTGACACTTTGCGCTTCTCCAAGGGCAAGTCTGGCTTGGTGATCACAACGCCATCCGGCGTTGAGACAGAACCACCGGGGGGTATGGCGATATCCAGATGGCTAAAGTCCAGGTCGCCAGATCCCAGAGTGTCGACGGCCAGCGGCTTTTTCTCTTCCGTCTTGCTGTTGATGGGCTGGCTCGGGCCAGGCGCTCCCTCACTAGCAGGCTGGTTCTCGGATTCACTCAAAGCTCCTTGTGTAACATTGCGACCCTTTGACTGAGAGTTAAGACTACTGCTCAGAGTCGAGGCTGCGTTCTGTGCGGCGGAGAAGACGGAGGAGAAGAACCCGGTTTGCATAGCGCCCGGTGATTTTGCGCTTGCTTTGGTCTCTTCAATTGTCGGGCCCAACGCGGATATGGAGTTCGACAGCTTGCTGGGCTTGTGGCTCGCAGCAGAGGCGGACCGCACACGTCGGTGGGAGATCATATTCCCCGAAGGGCTGACAACGATACCGCCTGGTGAATCTTTCGAGTGGATAGAATCTGGCGATCGAGTCACATCTGGCGAGGTGAAGAGCTTGGGAAATTCGGTATTCGGGGTGGGAGGAGTTACAGTGGTCTGGGGATGCGGAATGGCGGTATGCGGGGGTGTTCTCGGAGCAGGAAAGTCAAGAGAAGGGAGTGGCTTGTCTTCTTTAAGATCGGTGCGAATGGGAGCTGGCAAAGGTGGTGGCGGTTCAGCAACAACAGTCTGAGCTCTCTTCGCCGATAAGCTGCCTCTTCTACTGCCTTTGGAGCTAGAAGTAGATGATGCTCGATCGCGGTTAGAGGCTTTCTTATCCGGGTTGGAGCCGAAGGCGTTTTTGAAGCGACGTCCGGGCGAGATGCCTCGTTTCTTCCCGCGGTCCGATGGCACGCTTAATGAAGAGCCATGTTGGCTAGGCGGCCGCTCCGTCTCCTGTTGCGACTCGGGGGCGGCCGCTTCCGCGTCGCCATTACCGTCTTCTTCAGTCTCGTCCACCGATGTGGTCCTTATAAGGGGGGAGGATGAGGTGTAAAAGCCGACATGGGAGTTGTGAGAAGTAAGAGGGGGTGTTCTTGGGGTAAATTCAAATTAGACATCTGTTCAGTCTTCCGATGATGTAGCAACGGAATTGGGACACACCTTTCAGGTTCGGAATCGTCTGTCAGCAGGTTAGGAGTATCATGGTCCGGGGGGCTCAGATGCTCGTGGCCGACTGATGAGGTGGTCGAAAGCCCGTCGCGCGACTCTGTCGAACGACTCTCCTGGACATCCTTGCTACTCTCTGTGTCAAGCTGGGTAGACGATTCATCCGATTGCTTCTGGTTCTTATCCTTCTTCTTCTTCCGTCGAGCGGCCAGAAGCTTCGAAAATCCGCTGGATCCTGCCTTGGCGGAATCAGCCTCGCCGGCTTGCGACTTGGGTCTGTCGGAGGTTGAGTCGATTGAGGAGCGCCCATTGCTTCGAGAAGAACTCCCCATTGTCTCCAGATCAACCGGAGTGGTCTTGGTACGATTCACTTTGCTGATGCTGGGTACATCGGTATCTGGAACCGGCGGGGGTTCGGGGATCGGGTTGGCCTCCATGTTGGATGAGCGTATCGAAGAGCGGGGGGTGGTGAGGGGAGAACAGGCAAAGACAGGAATGAAAGTGAATGGACAATTGACTTAGATTTCAGGAGGATATTGGATAGCAACGGCAGTGCGCATGCTAGAGGTCAGAACCGGTCGACGTCTCTAGCAATGCATTGTATGTAGAAAGTAAAGTAACGTCAGCAGAAAAGGAGGGTCGTAGAGGGGAGAGAAGTTAGTCTAACTGCGTCTAGATGGTCGCAGAGCCCGCAGCATGTCCTTCCTCTCGCTTCCCTTCTGCTGAAGAATTTAAGGGAAGAGGATGTCTTTGAGAAAAAAAGAAATGGGGGGTGGGGGGGAGGAAGGGGGGAAGATGACGATGAGGAGAAGGAAAGCGAAACGAAGGCGCTTCGAAGTGCAACTCCGCAAAGCTGCCAGACAATCCACGGTGAACGGAGCATTACCGCCGGTGACCTTCTCCCGCTCGTATTTCTCCGCCGGGGATGTATATCTACAGGGTGTATCTGCGATCGGCAGGGATAATTTTAACTTGAGAGGTTCCTCTGTAACTGTAATATTATATACTGTGACTTCCCCCCCTGGTCTCTTTTTTAGATCTGGGATAATTAATTAATCTTGATCGCGGTGGTGAAACTCCCCAGTGCTGCAGCAGGATAATTATAGAACTGCGGTGGTGCCGGAGCTGTCACAGTGTATGCGCCAGCGTATTACTGTCACAACAATACCAAGATCCGGAATCAGGGGGTTGCAGCGGTAGCAGTCCGGTAGTTGCTGGTAGTTGCTGGTAGTTGCTGGTAGTTGCTGGTAGTGGATAAAAGTCGAGGGTACTTAGTGGTACTCCAGCAGTTGGTTCCATGGGTGGTAATGTTACCGTCCCATTGGTACCGCCGCGTGATCTGCCCGAAGCGGTGAGGGGATGTCGTCACCAGCGATAGTAACTTCTTTGGCCCTTATCTTAATGTCCTAATCTTTCCTCTCCGATCATATTCAACTCACATTCACTCGCTTTGGGGGGGTGGCTTGTGGTAGTTCGCTCCGGAAATTCTATTGCTCTTTTGAGACCTCCACAGCCATGGAGACCGCTCCCCTGACTTTGGTAAGTCTTCTTGCGCGATCTCATGCGTTGTATCCCGCCTGACAAACCCCTTCGGACAAGGCTCATACCCACGCTCGCAATGCAGTTCTCGAGACTCGCAAGTCGAACCCCGTAGCAGCCAGCGAGGAACATGACCTCGCTGCAGGAGAATTTGCCACTGCAGCCCAGAATAGCTCTGATAAAGAGGTACGTCTCTTGACGCATTGCTGCATCTACAGCCACACTTATACGCTGGCTCATTTCCTCGACTGCACAGGCTCTACGGACTCTCCACTTGCTCGAACAACATCACAAAAAGCTGGCCCAGATCCTCCGTATTCAACATGAGAATCCCCCAAGCAATGCAGACACCGGTGCGAATGCCCAGCTCTCCACGGAATCGGGGGCGAGAGCATCCCCCTCCACCACTGATCCCCAACATCTCCCGCGGCTATCCGGACACCCTCGTCTGCCATCTAGAGAGTCATCCTCCATTGCCAGCAACCTAGCATCCGCACGAGGCATTCCCGCACACCGTGCCTCTCCGGCATCGCCAACAATCGCTCCCCAGCAAGCCGGAGCCAAGATGACCGACGGACCAAGCAAGATCCGAACAAGCGAGTCCCGACTACGAGGTACCGCACAGATGCAAGGGATGAGGGAGCGTGAGCGTGAGCGCGAGCGCCACCGCACCCCAGCATCCGCCCGACAACCTTGGATCCCGCCAACGCCCAGCCCAACCGACATCACCTCGCAGCAGTACGCGCCAGCGGAGCCCTCAGAGCCATCCCGCCCACGAGCCTCCCTCACCGAGGAACCCTTCCAAAAGTTCTACTCCACCTTCGAAGGCCTCATCTCCAAGATCTCCGCACCCCTAGCCTTCGCCGGCCTCCCCTTAGGCACCGACCCATCCTCCACACAACCCTCTACAAGCCGCAAATCCGCCCCGGACACCAAAACCGACCGCTACAACGCCGTCCCCGACCGCACCGCCGAACCAGACATCAACAAGCTCTTCTCCCGCGCCGCTCTCCAAGCCATCAAAGACAACACCGGCGGAGCAGGCGGCGGAACCGGCAGCGCCGCCGAATCCTTCTACGTGGTTCCCACCACTGGCGGCACAGTCTCCTACGCAGGGATCCTGACGCGGGCCGAAAAAGAAGCCCGAAGAAGCAGCTTCGAGGACGCCGCCGAGGAAGACTTCGTCGACGCCCGCGAGACCCCTCCATCCCCGGAACTCCGCCAAAGTCTCTCCGGAGCAGCAGCAGCACCGATGGGCAGCAAGGCCGCAGCCCGGAACAACAACACCAGCCAGAGCGAGAAATTCTCCCGACTCACCCAGAACCCTAAAACCATGGAAGAACTACAAATGGAGAACCAAGCCCTCCGCCATCTATCCGATACTCTATCCAAGCGGCTACACATGTGGGAAGTCAATGCCCAATCCAGCTCCATGGCGCTGCAACAATCCCTGAGAGCTATGCACCATACTCAGAATGTCCCGTCCCTGGACCAACCTCATAACCAATCGCAAGGATCTTCACCAGTCACAACTACTGGTGGTGGTGGTGTTGGTGGTGGCGGCATCTCCTCACCTCCAGTCCCAGCAACAGATTACGACCAGCGCATCAAGGATTTAGAGGAAATGGTCCGTCGCGGCGAGAAGGAACTTGGTAAAGTTGGCCGCGAGAACGATAAGCTCCGCGATGTGCTGGGCCGGTATAGAGAGCGGTGGGAGAAGTTGAAGGAGGGGGCGAAGTCGAGACGGGCGGGTGCGACTGGTACTGCTGCTGCTGGTGCCACTACTTCTGCTGGTGCTCCTGGCGCTACTACTCGGCCAGGTAGCAGTAGCAGACGATCGAGTACACAGCAAGGAGTGGCAGATACAGAGGACGGGTCATCAAAAGCAGGGGGCGGAGAGACGACGACGACAACGGAGAATGCAGACACTTCGAATGGTGAGCGGGAGGGGTCTGATTAAGCTTCTGCTTCATCTTTACGACCATGTTTATTCTTGGGTTTGTCCGAGGCATTCATATCTCTATATGAAAAACTTATATACTATGTCCTGTCATTATTAGCCATAAAAGCAAGCACACGAAGTGAAACGAGATGAACTGAACTGAAATATATATATACTACCCTAAACATCCACAGATATATCCCAACTAGATACATATACCACCACCCTGCATCCTCTTAACACCCACCTAGCTACTACTTTGTAATACTATTAGACAACCCAAAACGCCACCCTCCCCCTAATATCCACCGAACTACTCCCAACCAACACCCCAAACTCGCCCTTCTCAACCACATACTCCATCTTATTATTCCAAAGGCCCAAATCCTCCACCTTAATATCAATACTCACGCTCTTACTCCCCCCAGCGGGAATAACCACCTTCTCGAACCCCTTGAGCAACCGATTCGGCACGACCACCGACGCAATCTCATCAACCACATAAACCTGCACCACCTCCGTCGCCTCCCTACTCTCATCCAGATTCTTCACCTCAAGACCAACAGTCACCGTATCACTAGCCGACACATTCGTCTTGCTGACCTTGATATCACTATACTCGAACGTCGAGTAACTCTTCCCGTATCCGAACGGGTACACGGCGTGCGGATCACCCAGGACGTATTGGTGGCCGAACTCGAGGGTGCCGTTGGGGTAGGCGCGTCCGGCGTCGCCAATGTTCCGCGCCGAGTTGAGGTAGTCGTAGTAGATGGGCAGGTCGCCGACGTAATGGGGGAAACTGACGGAGAGTTTGCCCGAGGGGTTGTAGTCGCCGAAGAGGACGTCCGCGAGAGCATTGCCGCCTTGTTCGGAGGGGTAGAATTGCTGAACCAGGGCTGAGGTGCTGTTCGCGATCCAGGTTACGTCCGTGATGGGCTTGCCGCTGGAGAGGACGACGATCGTGGGGACCCCCGTGTCGCGGATGGCTTGGATGAGGGGGCCTTGGGCGCCGACGAGGGCCAGGGAGTCGAGGTCGACGTGTTCGCCGGTTCTAAATGGGGAAGATTGGGGGTTAGTGGTGGGTGGTGGGATGGGTGGGATAAGGATAGGGGGTGATGGGAGGAACGTACGTGGCGTTGTAGTTCTCCCACAGTTCGGTCTGGTCGCGAGACCAGGTGCCCACGACGACGATGGCTACGTCAGACTTCTTGGCTGCTGCGATGGCTTCGTCGAAGCCCGACTGGTCGTTGCTCCAGCGTTCGCAGCCTTGCGCGTAGTTAACGGTAGCGGCGTCGCCGACGGCGGCTTTGATGCCATCGAGGGGAGTGACGCCGCGCCATTGGCTGCCGTAGATCACGTAGTCGCCGTACTGATGTTGTTAGCATGATGCTAGGCATTTGTGCATTCGCTCGTGGCAACAGGAGGTATTAGGGGTCTCACGTTCATGAACCCGTGCGCCATGGGCCCGATAACGGCGATGTTACCGCTCTTCTTCAAGGGAAGTGTCTCGTTGTGGTTCTCTAGCAGGACGATGGATTCCTTGTCAATGGTTCTCGCGAGCTCGACTGCCTCCGGGCTGTGGATCAGCTTGTTCCATTCGGATTGGGGAGCAGCAGGGTAGGGGTTCTCAAAGAGACCCATCTCGAACTTGGCTCTGAGCACTCTAGAGACGGCGGTGTTGACAACCTCGATATCCAGCTGGCTTGATTCGACGAGCTCGGGGATTTTCTGGTAGTTGCTATGACCTGTTAGCTGTATTGTTTACTCCAGTAATTGTTGTACTCACAATGAACCGCCGCCCATCTCGACATCGTTGCCCGCAGGCAATGCCTGGGTAGTCACAGCCTCCATGTCGATGGGAGAGCTTCTGCAGAGCTTGAAGGCTGTGCACAGTCTATCCGTGGCACCGGAGTCACTGATCACATAGTAATCGTAGTTCCATTCTTGTCTAAGGATCTTCGTGAGGGTAAACCAGTCGGCCACCGCAGGGATACCGTCGTATCTAGAACTAGTGAGTTGATAGCCGAAGGAAGGTCGTTGAATGTAGCAGCTTACGCGTGGTATGCGCTCATAATACTCCATGCCCCAGCATCCACAATGGCCCTTTTGAAGGATGGCAGCCACCTAGACCGTGTTAGATTTTCGTCTACTTATATGGAGAATGCACACGTACGTTGAGCGCAGATATCTCTCTCCTCCTTGGACAGGCGCAGTGTTCAGACCCTGTTCAGGCAAACTATAGCCCACAAAGTGCTTGACAGTAGCAGACACGTTGAGACTCTGCAGGCCTACGATATAATGATAGGCCATTTCGCCGGCAAGATAAGAATCCTCTGAGAACGTCTCCTCAACCTGTAATCGATGATCATTAGCCAGTCCATCATCGCTTGAGATATTGCAGTCCTTACCCGACCATATCGGAGTTCACGAGCCAGATCAGCCAGCGGCGCAAACAGTTGTGTGGTACCAATAGCACGGGCCTCTTGCGCAATGAGTCGTCCCATTTTCTCAACCAACTATAGTAGGGAGTAAGTCTCAGTCATAGATAGCAGACAGCAGGCAAACATACTTCTCTATTGAAAGAACAGGCGTATGCTATCGGGGAGTTGTAGATCGTGGCGTTCTCGAGCAGGAAACCATGAATACCTGTAAAGAGCAGCCACGGGTTAGCATAGATATCCAGCTGGGTATGGAGACTGACGTACCCTCAGTCTGAACAAGAGCAGGAATCCCAAGCGTCGTATTCTGCAGCAGGTAGTCTTGGGCTCTCTTGATATTGGTCGCAAGCCAGTCCCAGGGAACAGCATATCCAACTACTAATGTTAGTTGTCTGGCAGCAAATATTCAGAGTAAATTCATACCGTAGAATGCACCAGCCTTCATCTCCATGTTCTCCACCAAGCCTGTGTAGTTGAAAGCCCCAGTTGTGCTGTCCATCCAGTTACCGACGTCTCCTATACCACCCAGCATAAGCCTCTGCAATGAATGCGATTGGAATCGAGCGAAACATTGATTTGTATTCACGACCGTGTTTCTACACGTGGAAAAGGAAATACGCACCCTGCATCAATTGAGACATCTTATCTTCGATAGTCATCCGACTGAGAAGATCAGAGACTCGCGCCTCCACAGGCGCATGGGGATTCTTGTAAAGAGGTCTGGAGGCATTCTGTGCAGCCACGACCCCAGACCCAAGCTGAAGGAGCAAAAGCGCCTTTGCGACAAGACCGGCCACCATGATGGCTAAATGAAGAGCCAATGATCTGCTCTCCCAGCTCCTTGGGTGCGAGCGAGCTTATGCAGGTAGGCAGGCAGATATTGGGGAAAAGACAGAAGGGGAAGCTCCAAGGGGAGATCCCCCTCGGTATTTAACATCATGCAGGCAGCATATAATTTCCAGCGCGCAGACCAAGCGGAGCTCCAGACAACAGGAAGGGAAGAAAAAATACCAGCAAGCACACTACTGGATTTCATCGGCAGTGACGGGCAAGGAATCCGTTTAATTTAGGCTGTGCTCATGCGATCCATTCGGAGATGAGCCCAGTACCCATGGGAGTCGGTAGTGCTGGGAGCGTGGGGAACCAGCAACGAATGAGGGAGTATGATGCTGAGTAGGAACCTGAAAATGAGCCTGCTGACTGGATGTCGGACGAGTCCCACGATATATTGCAGACAATGGAGTAATTTCCTAGGATGGGAGGTGTATTGAGTAGAAGGACGGCTAAATTCAGGCGATGGCCGGCGGGGAGGGGCAAGTAATCTTGGGAAATGGCCCTAAGACGATCCATGCAGCAGACTAACAGCTGCTAGTCGGCCAGGGTGCCAGCTGCTTGCTGCTCTTTCTCCACCTATCGTCGTCTTTCCTCGGGCCAGCAGACCTGCAAAGTCCAAGGATGGAACTAAGGCCCGTCCCGATATTGATGGGATGCCCGCGGGGTGGGCCAGCTGAAGAAAGTCTTGGATACAGGTTCCACCTCCTGGTGACTAGCAGTCGAACGCAAATTAACATCGCCACTGGCCTCGAGCTACCGGAAAACAACACACTCGTTTCTCAAAATTCTATTAAACGGCTATATAGTCGAAGAATGCTAATGCTCGCAGTGGTATGAGACAACCCCCACCCATGAATTATCTATAGGAAAACAAACGTATGTACTAACATTCGGTGTGAGCCAGTCACCATCAAGAGCTCAATTTACGCCCGCGTACCTGCGCCGGTACCCTGCCCTTCTTGGTTCCCCTGCGACTCGGCGCCGTCTTCACCTTCGTTCTCTTGGATGCTCGTCGTAGCCTCCGACCCTCTGTTCGCCCCCGGTTTATGAAGAACGCCACCTAGCCAGGCGAGACCACCGCTCCAGGAGTCACTTAGGCTGCGAAGCCGCGAAAGTGAGGTGGTGTTATCTTCGTGCTGGCTGATGGGGCCGTCCTCCGAGTCGACAGCAGGTGTCAGATCCCCAGTACTTACTGGAGCAGTTGCAAGGGCACCAGTCCCTGGAAGCCGGCTGGTAGAAAGCGGAAACCCAAGGTCATGAGCGTTTTCCAGATTGCCATCCGCCTCATATTCGCCTCCTCTGGCGTCTCCGTTACGCTGCCGAGGGAATCCTTCCAAGACCGTTGTGCTTAACTGCTTTCTCCGGTCCATCCGGTGGCGCAGTCTTCGTCCTTTATTGGGACTTATCTCGCCGCGGCGTAGCGTCTCAGCCACTACTGCACTAAAGCCAGCCGAAATGGTCGGCAGAAGAGGACCAGGCGAAAATTTTGAGATGGAATTTCGTAAATGCCGAGCGGGCGGCGTCTGCGGGACAATGGCTTTCCGAACGTTTGATGGAGTCCGTCCATGTCCCGGTATCGGGCCTTCCGGCGCATCCTCAGCGCCAGGAGCAGGAGGGAAGCGGAGAAGAAACGGTGAGTCGTGTGCTGTAAGCTCCGACTGAGCCGGGGGCGTAGCAGGGCGATGCACCGGTGGTTCGGCATTGGGGGGTTGAATGGCTGACTCGAGAGAGTCTGCCCATGGGTTCGTCAAAAGCGAACGAGCATGCATGGGCGACGAAGGCTCCGAAGACGGTTGTTCGAGAGACTCAGCGGTTAGTGAGCCGCGGGGGGAAGATGGTGCAGCCGATAAGACGCCCCTGGGTGTCCGCTGGTCGTCATCCACATCTTCGATACCATGGCTGAGGAGGGACCCCGAAGGAGACTGCAAATGATCATCCGCGGGCGTGCGGGCTCTTCGTCCTGTTTTATGGGCCCGAGCTTGGGGAGCAGGAGGAGACATGTCGACCCTGTCGTGATAACGGTCTCCGCCTAACAAGCCGATAGCCTCCTCCTCGTCATCGATAGAGAAGGTAGACTCATTGTCTGCGCGTACACGGCCGCTGGTAATACAGTAGACCCCCATAAATGTCAGGACACAACCGCCCACGAATTTGCATGCACGCTCAGCCGTGTACGACTCGAAGTCCCGATACAGGACAGCGCTTCCGATGATCACGGAGAGTGTGAAAAGTACAAACTGCGTGGGGATGACTTGAGTTGAGTCGAACCGTTGCAGAGCTCGATTGATGTACCGGATCTGCATAAGAGCACTGAAAACAAGGACGAAGACTAAAAGATAGGTAACTGGGAATGTAATGACGTGCCATAGCGTAAACGAAAGCAGCGATGAGACACCTTTGGTCGACAAAGCAGTATATCCACCTAGTCAAGAGATAAGCAACGATCCACCAGCAGGGATAGATTGTATATAACTAGGGGGAAAATGTGTACGTACCAAATAACGCCACCAAGCCGACATCGATCAGGATCGATCGCGATCCGTACTTGCCGCTTGCCCACATGAGCCCGACAATAAGCACAGCGGAAACGCCCAGGTACAACTCGAACTCCCAGCGTGTAATCATCTCCCAGATATCATGAGGGCCGATCTTCTCTTCTGACGACTTCGCGCTGAGGACAACCACCACCGCTCCTGCGATTGCAATAAGAACGCCCCACAAGTCACGCTGTCTAAATTTCTCCTTCAGCATAAATGGCGCGATAACGCAGTTCGAGATGAGGGCAACAACGCCGAGCGGTGACACGATAGACGCCGGAGCAAATCCATAGGCCATAAAATTCCCGACCTCGCCAAGTGACATGAGCACGATTCCGACCCACCAGTACGGCGACCGAAGATACGATTTGCGGCGCAAACGCTCACTCCCCGACCGCGCGGTCCGGTCGGATATCATGGAGTCCTGCATATGATCCTGTGAGTCTGTCTCGTCGTCCCTGTAACGGCGGGTTCGTCCGGAATGGCCGCGGCGTTCCTCATAATGATCGGGTTCAGAAGTAGGAGATTCATCTCGGTAACGAGCTGGTCGAGACGCACGATGTCTTCCTCGGCTTGCGTCTCCGTCGAATTCGTCGTCATCGATAGACCCATATGCTCCGGAGCTGCCGTGTCCATGGTTGGCACGTTTCCAGTCCAACTCATGTCTTAACTTGTCCTGTTCCCACTCCTTATCGATACGAATGTGAGCATACCGCTGGATGTTGAGCGCCAAGGAGATCAACACATTGCCAGCCAGCGCAGTCACGATTCCAATCAGGGAAGACCATTCGTGCATTCCTCCACCACTTCCACCATCGCCATTGTCAGACCCGGGACTTGATGTGAACGTCGGAGAAGGCTGGGACGAGGAGGGGAAGTAGTGATACGGCGTGGGTGTCGGCGTAGGAACAGCGGAGGAGGCGAGCGCGGTGAGCAGGCCTGCTGCCAGGGGCACCTCGTGCAAGTAAGCCATCCGCAATAGGAGGTTGACTCGAGGTTATGCCTGGCGCAGGTAGGCCTGACTAAAAGGCGAGCGCGGGAGTGAAAAGGAGGTCCCGACTGATCCGCCGCTATAAGGTCGTAGGATGCGGAAAGCCTCCGATGTCGACAAATCGGCAAGAAAATGGCAGCCGACTGACTCTAACGAAGAGGAGACTTCCGGTAATCGTCACAGCATATATTCCTTCAGGTTATTGGCATCAGCTTCTTGGGGGGCAGGGGTTCATGCTGCTGTGAGCCACGACATTCTGTATCCCCTAAGTGATAAAATCCGAGCGCGGAAGTCTTCGTTCACCAACAGATGGAAAGAGATTCCGAAAGGCACCACAAAGCAATAAAATGAGTATGGACGCCCGTCAACCGTGAGCGAGGTCCGACAGTGGTAAAGTGCACGGATGTAGAGAATAAGATGGGGGAGGAGGGACGGGGGGATTCTCTGAGAGAGAGAGAGAGAGAGATGCCGAGAGAACCGGCGAGAGGAACTAACTAGTCGCAGTCCCTAAACTCGGGCCTAAAATCCTTGGATACGACCAGTTCGCACGTGCGAGCCTGCTCAAGTTGGGAGGGTGGAAAATACCACGTAAAAGCACAGCATCGCGTGAGGTTTGCTGTGCAATCAAAGCTGGACAGGCTGCAGGAGATTATCGAGGAGCCAGCCGCAGTCGTGGAATCATTGGCTTGCTCGCCTCCTCCAGATCAACGTCGAGTGGCCGATCCGGAGAATGGGCGACTTGCACATCCTGGCCCACCCACCAGCCCCTTCAACGTCATCGAGCAGGCAGCCCATGCCGCAAGTACCTACGGAGTACACTTACTCGTTATGCACGACTATGACTAGAGTTTCACAGTATTTACTGCCATAGGGGTATCTCTGTTGTTTTTTTAACTCCCGTTGAGAGGGCGGCTGATTATTAACACACTTGATCTGCCAACGCCGCCCTTGCTCCAAAAGTATAGTGTGTACATGTCCTGAATCATGGCATAGAGCGAATGGAAACGATCGCTATTATTTCCGATCGGTCGCAACACTTCATCGCTTTGTCCGCTTCTTATCCGGCCCCTGCTCGTTCTCATCATCACTAATATCCCGGTAGATTGGCGTGGGCTGCGTCTCCTTATACGCCCTGGTGAATACCGGGTCCTTCTCAGCCTTGTCTGCATACTTGAGCAGAGCTTCCCGGGGATCTTCATCCCGCATGGAACTAAGAGGAATGTTCTCACGGATATGCTTCTCATCCGGCTGCGATTTCGCGAAAGGTGTTTGTGCTGGTAGATGAGGTCTCCGTGGATCTCTTGGCCGGCCTGACGCCGTGAGTCCGATGGTCGGGTGCCGGGCGGACCAGGTGGACGAACTGTAATGAGGCACCCCGTTGGATCCGACAACCACAGAATCGCCAGAAATCCCCTGGGTGAGATCCATGGTAAGGCTAGGGTCATCATCAATGTGTCGACGCTTCGGGGCCTTGGACATAATCAATGCGGCACCCTTGGTAGACATATTAGGGTTGTAAAGAACATGAGTTTCGGCGTTGGCCGAGCCGGTAATAATCTGGTTCATCTTCTCATGCCACAAAACACTAATAAGAGGCGATCCCGGCGTAACAGGCGTAACCAGTTCCGGTTTCAACGTAGCTGGATTCAAGATATGCAGGTGTCCAGTCTCCGAGCCCGTGAGAACATTGGCCGATGTAGGCGAGAAGATGATATTCGACGACGGGTACCGAGTGCTGGAAGGATGGGCGACCGTGGTGATGGGTTGCTTGAACTTCCTGGTATCCCACAGCTTGATAGTGTCATCTCCGCCCTTAGTGATAACAAGCCGTCCATCCGAGCTGATGTCGATTCCACTCGTCCAGGTATCCTTAGTATGTGCATCTCTAATCTCTGCGCTTGGCCGAGTGTACGGCCCGTTTCCGCTCCACATCAGCAAGCTGCCATCGAGCGCAGCAGCAACGAGAACATTGGGGCCACCCTGCTTGGGAGAACCCCATGCAACAGCGGTCATTTTACTCCGGCCAGCGGATCCCGCCATCTTTGATTTATGCACGATGACCTCCTTCTGTGACCGACCGATATTGGCATCCCAGATGCGCACAGTACTATCTGTGCCTGCGGTGGCACACAGGTTCTCGTCGGTTGGACACCACACGCCGCCAGTCACCTCAGAGATGTGACCTTTGGTGTTGTGGAGATCCCTCAAATACATATCACCCTTGACAAACTCGGTAATCGTATCACCATCGCGACTCAAAATTCTTGGCTGGGGTGTGGCCGAAACAACCATGACGTAGCTGGGGGACAAGGGATTGAAAGCTGCATAATGCACGGCATGCGCCTCCTGCGCAGCAGACTGCTTTTTGGCAGAAGGATCGACGGATTTGAATGCGCGTATTGTCGACGGGGTCATGGACGCAAAGTCGTGTAGCTTTATAGTACAATCGGTCGAGCCGGTGATCAGTCGCGAACCTGCGGGATCCACGGTCAAGGTTGTCACTGCGCGGTCGTGTGTTTTGAGAGTGAGTTCGTGAGAGACCGGGAACTCATCCTCATCGTCAGAGTCGTCATCAGAGTCGTCACTCCCATCATCGCTTTCTGAATCGTTCTTCTGGTTATCCTCCTCGGCCGCGGGAATCGCCTCAGTCGTCGTCTCTCCTATTGAACCCGCTTTTTTGCCGTCGCCATCAGGGTTCACAGAGACTTCTGCGCGCTTGGTGCGATCAATCTGTGAGCTCACATCGGCTTTCTTCTCTTGCTTGCCAAAGCTAGTCGGGAAAAACTTCTTGAATGCTTCCTCGTCAAATCCGTCCATTATGGCAGCTGGTCATTCGTCTTGGATGAAGATTTGACGGAGATGACTGCAGATGCTATGGACGGTATCCTTATTGTTTGTAAGATTTGATGGATTTGCACTGTTTGGGCTTTATAGTCACGTGGTGATAAGATAAAGTCCTTGATAAACTGGCCTCGCGACGTCACCGGGGAATGGGCGGGAGGGCCTCCAACTACGCCCAGGACTAGCAGCCTCTACAATGTGCACGGAAAGGTTACCTGCATGTGCAATTGCAAGGGCAGCGCCCTGACAGCGTTACATACGGGCCACCGAGGCGACCTGGTGCTACTATTGTAAAGATACACTGGGATAGATTCTTGACCTAATACCACCACGATACGACGGTTCAACTAGGGAAGATCTAATACAACATCAATATCTGCCCGCCTACAAGTACAGTCCCTCCACCGGGCCTCCATCCTGCTTCGTCTTCATGATCCGCTCCCTTGCTGCGCGGAAGTCGTCCATCTGCACCCGCATCCGGCGCTCTCTCAGCGCCATCAAACCGGCTTCAGTACAGATCGCACGAATATCAGCACCAGAGAGATCATCCTTCTGGTTGATGAACTCGTCCAGGTCGACATCGTCTCCCAGCGACATCTTGGAAGTGTGCAGGGTAAAGATCTTCTTCTTGGTATTTTCTGTGCATAGTTAGCAATCTGGCACAAATATATGGACTCGGTGGCTTACGGTCTGGGTTCTCGAAGAGAATCTTTCGGTCAATACGTCCCGGACGAATCAAAGCAGGATCCAAGGTCTCAATCTTGTTGGTGGCCATGATGACCTTGACGTCACCCCGATCATCGAAACCATCGAGCTGGTTAAGAAGCTCAAGCATAGTACGCTGGATTTCTCGTTCACCACCTGACGTAGAATCATAACGCTTCGTACCAATCGCATCGATTTCATCAATGAAAACAATGGAGGGGGCGTGCTCAGCTGCAACCTGGAAGATTTGACGGACCAGACGAGGGCCATCTCCAAGGTACTTCTGAATCAGCTCACTACCCACGATACGGAGGAAAGTAGCACTGGTTTGGTTCGCGACCGCCTTGGCCAGCAGCGTCTTTCCGGTACCAGGGGCACCGTAGAGAATCACACCCTTGGGTGGCTTGATACCCATCTCCTCGTACAGCTCCGGATGCAGCAGGGGAAGCTCCACGGACTCTCGGACTTCCTGGATCTGGGTTTCCAGACCACCAATATCGGCATATGATTCTGTGGGAGCTTTGTCGAGCTTCATCACTGATACGAGGGGGTCGGATTCTTCGGTGAGCACACCGACAACCGAGACCGACTTGTGGTGTAGAAGAATGCTAGCACCAGGCTCGAGCAGGTCTTTGTCGACGAACGACATGATAGAAACATAGTATTCTGGTCCAGTCGCGCTCGAGACGATGGCGTGGTCATCGTCAATCAGCTCTTCCAGATTTCCGACACCCATGGGGCTGCCTCTCATGTCGTCAACCCGGCTTCTCTCATCGGCGTTCCGATCCATGATGTCGAGATCATTACGGTTCGCCGAGTCCAGCGCAGCCTGGGCCTTGGTCTTGCGCAGGCGCTCCATGTTCTCCACGTACTCTTCCTCTAGCAACAAATGGTCGTGGACTCGTTGCATTCGGAGATATCGTAATTTACATCGTGACGTTGGGAAGATGTCCGGAAGCTTGGAGGCAGTACTCGGGCCGGCAGCCTTGCGCTTCTTACGTCCGAGACGAGTCGTAGGCGGCGGTGGTGGTTCGTATCTGGGCTTGTCCTTCTGCAGAGGAGCGTATTGTAAGCCGACCGGCAACCGGCAGGATGAACATGGGAGTATAGCTTACCTTCTTGTCTTTCTCATCCCGTCCATCGCCACCGGGGCCTCCGCCGATGTTGGACTGCTGGTTACCCTGTTGCAAAGATTGGTCAGATAAGTGACATCAGGAGCCGACAAGAGCTGTCAACTAGGGCCAACGCTGGGCACCAACCATAGTCCGAAACTGTGAGAAGCAATAGGCTTAATATAGATAACCTATGCAGGTGTTTGGAGAATGTAATGAAGGATTCGCGATGTGCGTGGATGGGGTGAAGAGATGAGGATGGGGGAAGGAGGATGGGGCGTGAAGCTGATGAGTTGCGCAGCTGGGAAGCTGTTGGTAGCCATCCGCTCGGGCCTTGGCGCCCGTCCAGCACATTTGGCAGCACGTGATGTGATCCGGCATCCATGACGAGCCTTGGTGCCTGAGAGACTGATGGCCGATCGCTAAGGCATCAATCGCCGCTAACCCCTCTTGGGATCCTCCGCCCAGAAGCCAAAAGTAGCCTGGCGCCGACCGAGCTGGACCCGATCTGTACTCCGTACAGAAAGTAAGAGGCAGCTCTTCTCCGAACAGCCCAGGCAGGCCGACGGGTCATTTCCCCTAAACTGCACCTACGACTTGTCTTTTTCTTAATCGGAACTTATATTCCCGGTGTCATTTATATATAGTCCAGCCGGGTCCATCCTGCGTTGGGGCCCGACTAAGTTCCTGTGATCTGATCTGGTTCGATTGTTTAGCGCTCTTCCGTGATAGAGCGCTTACTTGCGCCCCTCCGAGAGCATTGATCCCCCTCACTTTCGCCCATACTACAACAACGATCCTCTCTAGTCCACTCCCACCAAATTAGGTGACGCTGTTACAGATCCGTCGTTGGTCTCCAGCGTCCATACTAATTAGACCTTCTCTGATATTTTCTTCTCCTCCTCGATCCTCCTGCTACAGACCATCTGCTGCACTTCCTCGCCCTCTCGGTAGTTAGCTACTGTGAGGCTGACGAAGCTTTGACTATTGCCTCATAGTTCTTGAATCCTTTCTATTCTTATCTTTCAACTATCCAGACGATACAAACCTACTTTGCCTGCTTATTCGGAAGAGGAAAAATAACACAAATTGCCTGTTCTTCCCAGATTTATTTACCCATCACCAAACTTCTTGCACGATGTCTGCCAATCGAGCAAGGCGTATCGCCAAAGAGATCGCCGACATCCACGCCGACACACAGTCGCAAATCACGGCTGAACCACTGCACGGTGGGGAGGATCTTACACATCTTCGAGGCACGTTCCCAGGGCCTCCAGGAACACCCTATGAAGGTGGAACCTATACCATCGACATTAAAATCCCCAACGATTATCCATTTCGGCCTCCCCACATGAAGTTTGTAACCAAGGTCTGGCATCCCAACGTCAGCAGTCAAACAGTAAGTCACCTCCAGTCATGTATGATCAGGCTGTCTCTAGTTTCCTGCTAATAAAGCTGATTGCCCAGGGTGCCATCTGCCTAGACACTCTTTCCACTGCGTGGTCGCCGGTGCTCACCATCAAGTCTGCCCTTCTGTCACTGCAATCCCTGCTAAGCACACCCGAGCCCAAAGATCCTCAAGATGCCGAGGTCGCCACGATGCTCCTTCGGAGACCGCAGGAATTTGCACGAGTTGCTCAGGAGTGGGCTGTGATGTATGCAGGAGCTCCCAGAAGGCATGCAGGTGAAGGCAGCGGCGGTGTGACAGACGAAACTCTTCGACTGCAGGAGATCAAGTCGAAAGAAGAACAGGAACAAGAGGACTTAAGCAAGTATGTACACGTTTGTAGGACAAACCTAATCTTGGCTAATCTTTCTGTGCAGGTACGACGGCTACAACAAAGACTTGATCGACCGATTCTGTAACATGGGATTTGACGTCGAGCGCGTTGTAGCCGCATTCAAATACTACGGCATTGATCGAATGGACGGAGAAGACTACGAGCTGGAGGAGGCGTACATGGGAGACATTACAGCGCGGCTCCTCGGCGAGCCGTAGTTGGTGTGATGTGTTGACACACGGTTCGGATGGTTTAAATTTTGCAATAGCGACGGTGCTAGGCGATTCAGTCGGGTTTGCTCTCTTGAATCTGGGGACCTCTTCGCACGAACATCATAAAGACAATCTCTTTTCTCTTTTCACACGTCAGATCCCAAACAGTGATGACCTATGTTTGTTTAATATATCCAATTGCTTTCTACATCTTTCGGCAGCATAGCTCAAGTCAGGATACTATTAGCCTTGCATTTAGTCAATCAATATCTGTATGACCCAAAGGATAGTGTCTTCTAACGTAAATAGCTATTTTGAACGATCACAGGCAGTCAGCAAATTGTAGTGGATGTCTAATGAATGGAAAGTCAAGACAGCGGGCCTATCGATAAGCACGTGGATATGCGGCAAAGTCCGATGCAGATCAGCTTTGACTTTCCGCCGTCCCCAGAATCCTCTCGCAACGAGCACTCCATCTTTAGCTACTACATCCTTTACGACACCGAGCGCATTGTGTAGCTGTTTTCCACCATGATCGAAGACGAAATATACCGGTCATCCTCTCAGTTCCGACTGTGGTCCTTCACCGAAGCATCGCTGAAGCAATTACGAGCAACCACCAACTCCGTCGCGAGTGACCGAGTGCGAGCAGCTCTACGAAGAGCACAAGAGGCTCGAAGATCAGCCACCTCCTCCACGACAGGGACACCGGCCCCCGGAAGCGATGCGGAGAACAAGGCAACGGAAGAGAAACAAATCGAGTGCTTGACACCCGAAGAAGAGCAGCAAGTCGTGGACTACTACTCCGAACAAATCATACAACTAGGGGAGAACTACAAGCCACCACTTCCCACCATCGTGAGAGTACGACAGCCCTCCTATCCCATACCTGCAAACCTCAAAGCTAACCTACCCATCCCCAAAGGCCACCGCAATCCAATACCTCCGCCGCTTCTACCTCACCAACTCCCCGATGACCTACCACCCCAAACAAATCATGCCGTGCGCCCTCTTCCTCGCCACCAAAACCGACAACTACTACCTCTCCCTACGGCAATTCGCCGAAGGCGTTCCCGGCCAAAC